TTCCAGGCCAGACTGCCCTCGGCCAGGGTCTTCTTCTCCTTGGAAGTATGTCCACGTCTGCCTCCCCCTCTCATTGCTGAGACGCCAGCGGCTGAGGTCGGTGGCGGGCTCTGTCTTATAGGGTCCCCCTCTTCGGCGCAGACACCTGGAAGCGATCGTGCTCAAGTGACCTGCTCGCCAGGTCAGAGGCCAGAGGCGCAACGAACTTCCCGTTTCACCCCAACGACCTGCGAGCAGACCACTGTTTCCCTCACCTTGCAAAATAAAAACCCTCTTGGCGCGCTTCTGCACCTAAACACCGCGCCATCATTTCCCCAGGAGAGGAGACACAGGCCACAGGGACCGCCGCCCACGTCCGGGTCCCCACCCCGACCCCCAGCCCCACCCGGCTCTCCTCGGCCCGGCCCCAGAAGGTCCCCGGGCGACACCGCCGGAGGAGAGCGTGCCCCTCACCGCCCCTCGCCGCCCCCAGGGCCGGTGCCGCAGGTCTCCACTGACCGCGGGCGGGGCCGGACGGCGCAGCAGCCTCGCTGGAAGCCCCCGACCCAGTGAGACCCCTCCGCTGCGCCCCCGACCGCGCCCTCCCTTCTCGAGGGGCGCGGGGACTCACGTGCCCTCCGTCATGACCGCCGCGCGCTCCCGGTTCCCCTCAGCCTGCGCCCCGCAACCGGACCAGCCACAACCTGGCGACCGGAGAACGCGATGGGAAGATGCCCGCGCAGCCAATCAGAGAGCGGTGAGGGTGGGTCCGGGGCGTGGCCGGCTAGCTCAGTGGTGGAGCGCGAAGGTCTGAGCGGTGGGGGCGGTCCCGGAGAACATTGAACGAAGCGGGATCGTGGGGGCGGGGCGCTGAGTGGGAGGGACTGGGTGGTAGGCGGGGCTTGGTGAGTGGGCGAGGCCGGGAGGGACGCGACTGCCAGTCACGCCTGCCGCCGGAGTCTGTCAGCCTCGGAGCGACTCGTGGGGCGAAGCGCCAGGACGAGGCCACCAGGGGGCGCCTGAGACTGAATGACACTTGGGGAGGGTCCCACCCGAGGCCGGAAGGCAGGAGGTCTGGGGAGCGGCTAGTGCCCTTGAGGAAGGGCCAGAGGCCGGAGGCTGTAGGTGAGTGAGTGAGGGGAGACATGGCCGCGAGGTCCCGCGGAGGGCGCGACGCGCGGGGGAAAGGCTTCCGGGAGGAGAAGGGGCGCTGGCGGGCACCTGAGAGGAACTGACAGGAGAGAGCTGATGGGAGGGCAACTGACAGGAGGGGAGATGACACCAGAGAGGAGCCGGCAGGAGAGGGGCTGACGGGAGAGGAGAGCCGGCAGGAGAGGAGAGCCGGCAGGAGAGGGGCTGACGGGAGAGGAGAGCCGGCAGGAGAGGAGAGCCGGCAGGAGAGGGCAGGAGAGGGGCTGACAGGGGAGGGCAGTGCATCTTCAGGCAGACCGAAGGCTCTGCCGTGGGGCTTTCGAGGTAGCGGTGCCAAGCACCTCCTGGCCCTGGGAGGGAGCCACGCTGGGAGAGCTTGTGCCACTCAGAGAGAGCCCTGAAGTTTTGCGGTCCCGGCGAAGTAAATGTGGAAGGCCTGGACTGTAAAGGAAGCGAGAGGAAGATGGAGAATGTGCTGAAAGGACTGGGGGTAGGTTGGGTGAGGATAAAGTGACCGCAGGGTGTGCAGCAGGAGCCGGGGGCTCCGCGGAGTTGGAGGAAACTGTGCGGACACTGAGGTCCCAAAGGCGGCTCTGCAGGAGCTCACGGACAGCCCCACCATTTCTTCGTCTTCCGCACAGAAACCCTGACATCAGGTCACAGCTTCCCCAGTTAGGTGAGTGTTTCTGGGCCCGTCCCTTGAGTCCTATCCCCGTGCCATGAACCCCAGCAAGCCAGGGGGCAAGGGGGGATTTGCAAATGAAAGCACACATACACCTTCCCCTAGTGGAATATCAGGCTGTTAGATGGTCAGTAAAGGACACTTGCCTCTCCCTATCCCGGTTCAGAAACCAATGAAGAAGACGCAGCAATAAGAGGTTTGGATATCACAATACCAGCCTTGCTACAGAGAAGAAACTAGTTTGGAAGACACGGCTTAGATGGACGATCAAGACGGCTAGCTACTTCCACCTCTAAATCAGACACATAGACCTCCCAGCCTCTGGCCCAGGGGGACAACTGCAGCTTCCACAGAGCTGTCCCACCAAGCACCATGCAGCCAGGTGCCAACAAGCAGATGGATGCCTGTCAGCCTACTGACCCCAGAAAGTGTACCCAGAGGAGGCTGAGCACGGTCAACCCTGTCTGTTCTCCTAAATTCACCAATTCACACTTCCCTGGGAGAGGGAAAAAGGCTGGAAGTTTTTCTCCAGGGACGTCCCTCCACTGTGGAAACACAAAGCATGGGAATAAGGGCTCCAGCCTACATGGACATCTCAAACTCTGACTCTGGTCAAGCTAAGGGAGGAAATAGGTTTCGCTTGGAGCAGAATTTGAGTTTTGATATTTTACTGGACTGGACTTTTTATGAGCAAAACAATAATCCTCTTTTTAAAATTTCTAACATAGGGGGGCTTCCCTGGTGGCGCAGTGGTTAAGAATCCACCTGCCAATGCAAGGGACACGGGTGCGAGCCCTGGCCCGGGAAGATCCCACATGCCGCGGAGCAACTAAGCCCGTGTGCCACGACTTCTGAGCTTGTGCTCTAGAGCCCGCGAGCCACAACTACTGAGCCCACGTGCCGCAACTACTGAAGCCTGTCGCCTAGAGCCCATGCTCGCAACAAGAGAAGCCACGACAATGAGAAGCCCAAGCACCGCAACGAAGAGTAGCCCCCGCTCAATACAACTAGAGAAAGCCCATGTGCAGCAACGAAGACCCAACACAGCCATAAATAAAGAAAGAAAGAAATTTGTAAAAAAAAATTTCTAAGATAGGAAAAACCTATAAAATCTATCTGAGAATCACAGATAAGAGTTTCTAGGGAGAGTCATGAGAAAAAATAATGCTTCTCTCCACTTGCACCCTACCAATTCCTGCTTGTCCAATAAACAGGACACGGAAGACTCTGAGGTTTTTGGCATGGACAACTGGGCATATGATAGTGTCATTTCTAAAGTAGAGAAGAAGGTTTGGGGAAAACTTTCAACTTAGATTAGGAACATGTTAAGACAGAGATGCCCATTAGACATTCAAGTGGATAGGCTGAGTAGACAGGCAGGTATTCGGGAGAGAAGACAGAACTAGAGAGAGAAACTTGGGAGTCGCCTGTTTTCAGGTGATGTTTGAAAACATAAGGTTGGATGAAATCAGCTAGGGCGTGAGTGTTCCAAAGAGAAGAATTTCCAGGATCAGTCCTAGGGCACCAACCATTTCCAACCTAGAGGAGGAGGAGTGGCCAGAGAGAGGAGAAAAACTAGAGGAATGTGGAGTCAGGGAAGCCAGGTGAAGACATGGTGATCTGTGCGGAGATTTTAAAGGGATTGTAAAATGAGGTCTGAGAATTGGTGACTAGGTGTGGCAAGACAATTTACTGGTGACTGACAAGAGCAATCTCAGGAGATGTGAGAAGAAAAGCCCAGCAGTAGTTAAAAAGGCGGGGGGGGGGGGGGGGGATTTCCAATTAAACATGTCAGACTGAGCACAGGTATTGACTTCCGTTTCCCACCTAAACCCTACTTACATAAAGTAATAAAAGAGACAAAAATGCATAGTAGTGAAAGAATGGGAGAGGAAGCACCAGTAAACGAGGGAGGTCAACAAAGTTGGAGAGGCCAGGAATGCAAGGAGGAGTACTCACTGCCTTAGCAAGCCAGAGGAAGCTGCAACCCACTGTCGGGGTGAAGCCACTGGGGAAAAAGACCATTCTTGCCCGTGAGCCCCAGGAAGGTGCGGAAGTTAGAACTGGTGTAAAGTTTGAACAAGAAGCAATCTGACAATAGACCCCTTCCCCTACCTGGACAGAAGCCTGCAGCAGTGGAGTCAGAGCAGGTGTGAACTCAGGCACAAGACATAGCTGAGGACCACTGAAAGCAGGGTGTTGAGTGAAAGTCTCCACTGTTGTGGCAGTTCCACTTCTCCCACTCAGCCGTATAGCTCCGGGCAATAGGAAGATTTCTCTGGAGCAAATGGCCCTCCCCCCAAAGACCTCCAAACATTGGCCCCTGGGACCCAGTGGAAAAACAGAGAAGCCTATCAGCTGGCAGGCTGTATCTGTTGGCACAGAGCTTCCAGCAAGCTCCTCAGAGCCCGATCATCAACATGAGCCAAACATTTGAGGAAAACCTCTACCACGAAAGGCAACGAAAAAGGAAATTTTTTTTTTTTTTTTTTTTTTTTGGCTGCGTTGGGTCTTCGTTGCTGCGCGCAGGCTTTCTCTAGTTGGGGTGAGTGGGGGCTACTCTTCATTGTGGTGCGGGGGCTTCTCATTGCGGTGGCTTCTCTTGTTGCAGAGCACGGGCTCTAGGCGCGTGGGCTTCAGTAATTGCGGCACGTGGACTCAGTAGTTGTGGCACATGGGCTTAGTTGCTCCGAGGCATGTGGGATCTTCCCAGACCAGGGACCGAACCCGTGTCCCCTGCATTGGCAGGCGGATTCTTAACCACTGCACCACCAGGGAAGTCCCGAAAAAGGAAATTTTGAGAAATGGAGATGATTGAAAGTCGTAGAAGAGGACTTTGATGAAAACATGTCCTCACAGAGATAGATGGTTCTTGTTTCATGAGTGCAACATCCTGACATACTCTTTCCCTCCCTGACTTATTTTTTTCTGTGCGTATCACCAGTTAGCACACCAAATGTTTTGCGTCATTATCTTGTTTATTGTCTGTCTCCCCCACTAAAATATAAGCTCTGTGAGGGCTGAAATTTGTTTCATTTGTTGCTATATCCCCAGCACCTGGAATAATGCCTGGCATATGGTAAACATTCCAAAAGTATATACTGAATAAATGAATGAATTAATAGGAGTCGTCTCTAATAAGAAACATTAAGAAAAAGACTCTCAGAAATTAAAAATATGGCAGCAGTTTAAAATTTTTTAAACTTTTTTAATTGAAGTATAGTTGATGTGCAATTTTATATGTTACAGGTGTACAATATAGTGATTCACAATATGGTAGCAGTTTTAAAATCACTAGAACAGGGAGATAGAGAAATTTTAGAATAGTAGAATAAAAAGATAAAGATATACAAAAATTGAAAAGAAAATTGGAGCATCGATACAGGTGGTCAAACATCTGAGTATTAGGAGTTCCAAAGGGAAACCGTGGAGGAGAAAATTGTATTAAATAATTTCCAAAAATTCCCAGAATTGGGGAAAGTTTTCTGGATTGAAAAAGCATGGGAGAATATTTTCTAAAGATGCCTGCAAAATCTCCCATCTCACATGCTCTTTTACAATGTGGTCTTACCACTCATCCCCACTGAGAAATAGGACCTATGTCCCGTCCCTTTAATCTATAACCAGATGCTTGTAACCAATACAATGAAGTGGAAGTGATCCTGCACAGATTCCAAAGCTGGGCTTGCATTTCGCTCACTGGGGCACTTGCACTTGGAGCCCTGAGATGCCATGTGAGAAGTCCTATCTGAGGCCACCTTGCTGTGAGGAAGCCAAGCCACGTGATGAGGTCACATATAGCTACTCAGGTCGAAAGCCCCAGCTGAGCCCCTAGCCAACAGTGCAACATCACCTGCCCGCTATGTAAGTGAGCTGTCTCAGACATCCAGCCACAGTCAAGACTTCAGATAACCACAGTCCCAATACCTGCATTCAATACCTGACTGCAACTGCATGAGAGATCCCAAGAGAAAGCTGCCCAGCCTGTCCTTCCCAAATTTAAGCTATGGTTGGGGTAGTTTGTTACATAGCAAAAACTACTGGAAAAAAGCACTACAACATGCCAAGCACAATAAATTCGGCAGGGAATAGGGGAGGCAAACCAATATGTCAAGCATGTTGTTGAGAAATTTGAGACCACCAGGGATAGAGATGATCTTAAAAGAAACTCCCAGTAACAAAAAACAAACAAAAACGCAGAGGAATAATTTCCAATGTAAAATTCTACTTCCATTCAAATGATGAATCTAACATAAGGGTAGAAATAAAGATCTTTTAGATATGCAAGCTCGGAAGGCTCTAAAAGATGAGCTCCATCAAAATGAGAAAGCAGACCACGGAAGAGGAAGGTATACGACTCAGAATCCAGGGGACGTCCAAGGTGGCACAGACGGGGGATTTCCCAGCAGTTCATTTCCAGAAGAAAATGGAGCTAGCATACTACCTGAGGCACCTGAGTGTTGGGAGGAGCTTCACACTTAGCGAGGAGAGGTTTGGGTGAAGTAGTGCTAGGAACACAGAAAACCAAGCAAATGAAAAAGCAAGACAGTTGACTCCAGGTACAACGGAAAGTTGTCCCTAAAGGAAATGTAATCATAAACCAATACAGGGCTCGACAGCAAACGGTATTAATATAGTCATACTGAACTCTGAATGCAGATTTCAGCTAACATCTTAAATCGTTTTGGGAGACTAGTGGGAGAGGAAATGTAGTATGCATGTGTGGGTGATACACGTTGCAGAGAGGATATAGTATGAGAGCTAACTCATTTTCTATTGTAGGAAATCAACAGATGTCTAAAATCGAGATTAAGAAATAGCATTACTTAAGTCTTTACTGATAAACATGAAGTTAATCACTGAAGAAATCCCTAAGAGTTGATGAGTGTTTGTTCTGGCGGATGCAGGGTTTGGCTGGTAGATGTGGTGGTGGTAGGATGAGCAAGTTCTGTTCCTAGTGCTTCTTTTTTCTCAATGAAATAAGAAGCAGGTCATCATCTAGGAATGTTGTAGATTTGAAGAGAATAAGAAGATATGAAATAGTTCCCTCAGAGACTCTAGGGGATGTGGGATATAGTAGGGAGATGCTGAGTGCCAATTTAAGACTGACGGTCATACTCAGCATCAAGTCTGTTAATACCTCTTTCTGTATATGGCTCAAATGTATCCCTTCTCTCCACACCAACTGCTAGCAGACTCAGGATTATACCCTTCTTCTTTCACCTGGACAGCTGCAGCATCCTCCTTTCGAGATCCATTGCTTGTCTTACTGTTGTTCCCCATATGCAGTTTTTGAAACAAAATGTGACCAAATCACTTCTTGCCTAATATCTCCAATAGCTGATTCCCATAGCACTCACAGTAAAGCAGCAAGGGTCTCGGCGGTCTGGCTTGGCAGTACTACCAAACTGGCACCTCCAGGTTTTCATCACATCCTCCTGGGTATACCACTGCACTCCTCTCCAAGAATTCTGCTCTGTCCTCTGCCCAATCCCCTTGTCTCCCCCTGCTTCCAATGCAGGCACATGCCCCATGCCTCAGAGAGCTATGTACATATACAGTTGGCTCAGTACATCTGTTGGCTCTCTGAGGTGTGAGCTGGGCAGGCCGGGTGGGCAGGGTCCCTGCACCTTATTCATCCCTGCACTGATTTGGCACATCAGGGACTGCAACTGTTGCTAAGACAATGAATGACCACCGTTACACACTGAAATGTAAGAGCATGTGTTGGTGGACAACAGTCAGAAGAGATCATGAAAACAGGTAAGAGTATCAAAGACATTACACAGGAGAAAACAACCTTTCATTCTGAAAACTGAGGAAGACCTCATTGGATATTCCAGTGGTTTATTTTTGCATGATTAATAATCACATTCCAACATGCATCAAGCATCTGAGAATAACATTATTTTGAGTTAAAAGAACATCTTCTAGACCCTCTCTCAGGTCCAGCAGCTCAAATGTCCACCATGTCCAGTAGTGCAGAGAGATGGAGCTCAGAGGCAACGTCCTCTTCCCTTGAACTCCGGATCAGCCTTTCTAGGCGCTTCAGCCGTTCGGTCACAGACGTGCCTGTTGCCTCTGACATCTGCAGTTGCTCCCCTGTCCTGTCATTCTATTTGAACAAAAAAAGAAACCAAAAATAGCTTTGGGATACCCACGAGCCAAAATATATTTTCTTTGAAGGCACTGGATCTGACTCGCGTTAGAAACCTCTTCTGGGGCCTGCTAGGCTCAACAAACCCCTCTCTTGGCATCTATCACACATCCTTCCAGCCCCTTCCAGCATATACACGTACAGCTGCCATCATCTGCCATGGAATGTTTCCTCTTCTGATTCTTTATTTATATTTTAAATTTTCCTTTTCTGGCCGTGCCGCATGGCATGTGGGATCTTAGTTCCCCTACCAGGGATTAAACCCAAACCCCCTGCACTGGAAGCGCACAGTCTTAACCACTGGACTACTGGGGAAGTCCCTCCACTTCTGATTCTACCATGAACAACTTCTAGTCGTTTTTATAAGAAATCGTTGTCAAGAGCTACGAACTATGCCATCATATGTATTGTAATTGCTGAACCAGACTCTCATCTTTGGATGTTTAGTTTCCACTTTCATGTACTATAATTAATGCTACAGTGAACAAAAATACATTCACTTTTGTCATCAGTAATTTCTTTAAGGCAGAATTGTTAAGTCAAAGCGTACAAATATTTTTAAGGTATCTGCCAAACTAATAATTGGAAATAGTATGTCATCTTAATTTGTTTTTCTCCGCAATTGAAGGGCTTCCTAAAAGCCAATCCAGGAGCATACATTTTGCCTGTCCAGCATTATACATATAAACTCTGCTTTTGTTTCTTTTATCACTGAAGGAAGAATGGTGAAGTAGAAAGACCTTGAGCTTCGGAGCCAGCTGGGTCTGGCTTTAAAAAGCAGCTTTGCCACTGACCAGCTGAACACTCTTGGGTGAGGCCCGTGACTTCTGTGAGCATACCCTCCTCATTCATTAATTTTCCTCACGGAAAATTAATACCAGAAGGGAGGTCCAGGTGATGCCAAAGCTTGGACAGTATGTGCTCCATAAACCGAACCACTGTTGTCACCTTTGTTATTCTCCTCCAAACTTCACTGCATGTCAGCATAACATGGTTATGGGTTTTGTTCAGTTCTTAAGCATGTTTCAATTCCATTCTTCATTCATTTCATAAGCAGAAATTCGGAATTAGTTGGGCCACTATAATACTGACAGATTAAGTTTAAGAAAAGATCTAATTTAAGCTAATAATTTATTGGTCATCATGACCTCATACGATGACTCGAGACATTACTTTTTTCCCAGTCATTCTCTCAGTTGTTAAGTCTAATATAAATGCCAAATGTACTCTCTTCTCACCTGAAGGCTAGTAGTTGTAGATGTTTTCATCACAGGTTCGATAGTCTGAGGCAGAGACACCAGAGTCTGAGGAAGGTAGAGTGGAAAGGAAGTTGAATCTGTACATGCTCCTGAGTCCTCTGACAACCACTGCTGAAGTTGATCTTCAAACCTGAAACATTTGAGCATTAGGAAGCAAAAATTTAACTGTCACTCACTTTTCTCCTATATATGCTTTAAATTTTTTAAAGCTCTGCTTTTTACTAAGGGTGGAACTAAGTTATGACATCAACTAAGAAGCAAAAAAGCACTGTTTAAAAAAATTTAGTATCTTCTCTTTAACTTATAAAACTGATTTATATTTAATGAAAAAGGTGGCATTTATCCAAAACAACTGCTTTTTAACACTACTTGTACTTCTCTCACTTGGTTTATCTTCTCTGGCTTAGTTTGCTATGATGTGTCTATAATTAATTTGGATCTCTTTGGATTATCCAAAATGTATGGATTGCTGCTTTAGTTTAAAATTAACCCAAAATAACATCGCACTGATACCTAACATACTCCAGAGCTGTCCACTCCATGTACTTGTTTTTTAAAGAAACATAATCTGGTCCAAACTGCTTAAATGATACAGACCTAGGAAAATCTACTTTTAGAAATCATGACACATTCATTCACTCTCCCAACACATATTTATCAAGCCTCCCCCAAATGCTAGGCATCATTCTGGGTACCAGCGACACAGCACTGAGACAGAACAGACAAGGCCCAGCTGGAGGCAGCTGACACTCTAGTGAGGTGAGACAGACAAAGGAGACGTCCGAAGACGAGAAAGACAAGGCAGAGACATGGAGACAGGGAGGACTGGTGAGATGGGTAAGGAGGTCCTCACTGAGGAGATGTGAGCAGAGGCCAGAAGTGAGCACAAGGTGGGCCAAGGGGAGGGGCTGACCTTGCCTACTGGCTGGACACGGAGGCTGCTGGAGAGGACAGGGCAGGGGGAGGCATGAGGACGACAGTGGAAACTCCCTTCTTGCCGTCTCTTCTTTCTCAGTAAAACCATGAACACGGGTGGTGGGAGAGGCAGAGGGAAGCCCTGCTCCATCCAGCTCCTGCATAGCCGCAGTGTGGGAATGCCCCAACGCCCAGGCTGGCCAGACGGGCAGAGCGTGCCAGCCACGTGCCACAGAGGCTTATTTAGCCAGCTACACTCACTCCCCACTAGGAGACTCGGGACTTTCAGTGATAAACAATCAACGAAACCGATTTCAAATAATAAAAGTCGAAGGCACACTATCGAGGGCACTGCCTGTCCTCAAAGAGCTTATCCTTCACATGTCTGACCTGCCTTCTTTTTTAAACAGTCTCGTCCCTGGGATCCTTGCTAACCCAGCATGAAGCGGCCTAAAGGACAAAACGAACCCCGGAAAGGGGCTTCACCTCTTGCTCTCCTCTTTCTCCAGCAGCAGGCTGCTGGACAGACACTGGGCCAGGAGCTCCTGGGCAGAGGCTCTGTGCATCAGGTCGTCGGTGCCGGGAATCCGCCCCTCTCGGCCGCGCTTCACACCTCTCTTCCCTTTGCGGTGCCCGTGAAGTAACGGAGTGCGAAGCTTGTTTGCAGAAGGATGAACAGATCTTATCCCCAAACTGTAAGTACACGTTTTGAAATGCTTACGGTCAGGAAAGAGAGGGAGAAAGGGCTCCTCTGGCATCAGGTAGAGTGCGGTGCTTTGGGGTCAGGCACAGGCGCAGAGGAAGGGCAGCCTCTGCCTTGCAGCAGCTTCCCCTCTCCTGGGCAGCAAGGCTCCCGAAGCTTCTCTACTCTGAGTTTTGCTTCCCATTCCAGGGTCATCAGCAGTCTCTGTTATTCCCTAATACTGGCAAGGTTCTTATTTTTCATGTAGCTCCTAAATCCATCTGGATTTTTTTTTTTTTTTGCTGTGATGCGAGGCCTGCGGGATTCTAGTTCCCCAACTAGGGATTGAACCCAGGCCCTGGGCAGTGAAAGCGCTGAGTCCTAACCACTGGACCGCCAGGGAATTCCCCTGGAAGTAATGTTTACAGCAGCGGGAGATGCGGGTCTAATGCTTTTTCTAAACAGAGGCCAAAGTCTGTCCTCTCTGCACTCATTTCCCACATTTGGCGTGGTACTTTTATCACATATGGTTCTGTCCTTGCACTTTCCATTCTGACCCATTTGTCTACTGTAACTTTGTTATACGTTTTGAGATCAGGCTGAGCAGACCTTCCTTGTTATTCTCAGTCAAAGTTTTCTCAGCAATTGCTACACATTTTCTCATCCTGATGAATTCTAGAATTAACTTGTCAAGACCAGGCGGAAACATCCTTTTGGGCTTTTGATTAGAAATGCCCTGAGAACTGACATCTTTATAGCATTGCATCCTCCAGTCAGCAAAGCCTAGCCTGCCCCTCATTTATTCAAGGTTTTCTTTGCACCTTCAGGGCTCTGAGAATCCCCTTCACAGGGGTTTGGCGCCTCTCCTGGTCAGTTTGTATCCATATGTTCTAGATTTGTTGCTGCTGTGAATGAGAATTTCTGTACACTGTAGGTTGATCTGTCTGGTCACCTTGCTGAATGCTGAACAGTTCTAAGGGTGTGACTGTCGATGATCCTGAGCTGACAATTTTACTGTCTGGAAATAATTGGTCCTCCTCTCTTGATATTTATGCCCTAAACTGGGCAGGGTCTCCAGGACAACAGTGGACAGCAGTGATGTCAGGGCAGCTCAAGGCTGGTTCTCACTTCAGTGTTTCTGATGTCTTACCGAGAAGCATGGGGTTTGTTAGTAGTTTTATGGCAGACAGCCCTATCAAGCTAAAGAACTGCTCTACCCAAGTTTCGTAGGAAATTTTATCAGGAATGGGTATAAATTGTTTTCTTGGAGAGGGAGAAGGAACGGGTATAAATTTTAAGGAAAACTTTTCAACACCTAGTGAAATGACCGCTTATTTTTCTGTTATGGCAGCAAATTACACAAATAGTTGTATACTACTGTTAATATTGTATAGCATGGTATAAAGTGAGCCTGTGAGTTTTGTATGTACTGCAAAACTGCATGTGCTAACACCTTACTTAGTATTTTTGAACCAGGTTTGTAAGTGAGATCAGACAACAGCTTTCTTTTGTCTGCACTCTCCTGGTTATGTTACGACTTCAGGGTCAGGTTTGTCCAATAAATGAAATGCGATGCTTGTTTCCCTCTGCTCTACAACAGTTTCTACTACATGGGAATGATCTGTTCCTCTAGCATCTGTCGGAATCTCCCCACAATGGGCTGGATTTCATGCATAGGATGTGAATTTCTGCTGTATACTCTGTTAGAGAATACAGTTCACTCTCTTGGTTGTGGGATGACAGAAACGCACACTGAACACAGATCTCACCGGCTCTGACTCAACTGTAGCTCCTTCTGCGTCTGCATTCTGGCTTGTTCCCACGACAAAGGAACGTCGTAGTTTTTCAAATGGTTTTTAAAAAAATACACACATATCTGACCATCTTTAGTCAGTGCCTCTGAGAAAACGATACAAAAATAAGAAGAGAAAAGAATATCAAAAGAGCAACAGGTGACCACTTGATGTCTGCTTAAATTCACTGACTTAAGGACTAGCCCTTCCGATTAAAGTCACACAATTATGTGACTCCCATGCTTGAGCTACATATGCTCCAAGTTTCCATGGGTCATTCACGGTCCAGAGAGGCTCACGTCCAGACCTGCATGGCCAGTGTGACTACTCAGAGAAGTCTCTCTAAAGCCAGCCTTGGGGGCCCATTTCAGGGAGATGAATGCAGGCTCTCCTGGAACCTTCTCAGCTCTTCCCAATGTTTATAAGTCACCTGGAGATCACTGGCTTGGAGAGGTAGCCCTAAGCAGAGGAAAGGCGGGGACCCGCAGGAAGGAAACAACCATCAAGTAAACATCTTCCTTTGCTGAAACTGGACCAGGAAAGTCTCCTGAGGAGCCGGCCCATGGCACCAAGCACTAACTACCTGATGTGACGGGAAGCCTGGGGGGTGTCCAGTCCCTCAGCCTGTGGTTGATGCACAAGGCGATGATGTCATCCCACGGGATCTCAGCAACTGAGGGCCGTGCCCCCCGGCCTGGGGAGGGGCTCCCGCTCTTCCACCTGCAGTGCGTGCCGCGGAGCAGGCTCTCCACCTGGGACTGCAGGACAGGCTGCGTCTGGAGAGAGCTGGGGATCTGGGAGGCGTACTGGACAACCATGGAGCACACGGGGAGCCAGGGAGCTGGAGAGAAAGCGCCACAGGAGTCACAGACCGTGGTGCAAATCTACATGCCATGTTCTTCACTCTGTATTTTCCTAGGAAAAGGCAACTCTGTAGCCGAGAAGTCTGCCTTCAACTCTGAATACAACAGAACCACAGCTGTTAAGAAAAGAACATCTCCCTCCCCACATCCAGGTAAGGGATGCAGCCACCCAGGTCAAACTTCACAACAAAGGGTCCATCCTAGAGGCTCTGACTGCACAGGCCTGCAGGTGCATGCAGGAATCCGTATCTGACCAAGCACTCAGGGACGTCTGGTCCCAGAGGCACGGGCTTCTCTTGGGGAGCCCCGACCTAGCTCACGGCAGAGGATTTGCGCGGTGCAGTTTATTCCCCATTGGGTTCCTTCAGTAGCAAATGTCTGTTAGACCTACTGGAGAGTGCACCTCAAAATTTAGAATGAAGCCTGAGGCCTCTGTTCCAATGGTCTAAAGGAGAATGGCCCTGCTAAGGCCATGTGCTGCGCCACGTGAGCACAAACAGCCTTGTTCCCTCCTAACAGCATCAGCAAGGGAAGGGGCAGCCTCCTCACAGCACAGGGACCCATAAAGTCCACGTGAGAACAGCCTAAAAGCCTCACTCGGGCACAGCCGGAGCCACAGAACGAGCTTCTTTGACAAAGAAAGAACACTGGTGTTAAAGCAGCACTGAGTGCCGTGGCCCCGGCAGAGCCAGCAGCGTGGGGACAGGACTGCACAGTCCCCATGCCTTTGGCTCCCAAATGCCGTGGCACAGGCAGGATGGGACCTGCTGTTAACTGAGGAGTCCCAGGCCTCGGGTGTAGCACTCTTCCTGACACCTTCCTCCCGAGACTAAACAGATACCCACAGACCGCTCAGATGGTGGTGAAGGGCCAACAGGGCTCACTCCACAGAACCCCAGCTCGTCCTGACTCCTGAATCCAAGGGCAAGTGCGGACGGGTGCAGCATGGGGCCGGGGTGCCCGGTGGAGAAGGGCCCCCTCACACTGGTGCCCAACACCGGCCAGGGAGTCTCTACAGCAAGAAGGAGGCGGGGAACTCGGCCGCAGCACACTGCTTGCCAGCCAGTGCCCCTCAGCACGAGCACGCACCTCCCGGGGGCGGAAGGTCCATCTGTGGGAGCTGGAAGCCAAGGATAGCCTGCCTCAGCCAGGCCAGGTGCTCAGGGGTGTTCCAGTGAAGGTGAGGAAGCAGCCGGCTGCCCCCTGCCTCGGCAAACTCAGTGACAGGCCAGGACAGGTCACAGAGCTGCTCGGAGGACACTACAGAGGCCAGGAAGCTCAGCACGCTGTTGAACAGTTCGATGACGGCACTTGGCTCCTGCGGGGCCAGGCCGCCTAGCCTCCGCTCTCTTCTGTCGTGGAAAAACCGGCCGCTAAACTCCCGGCTAACCCCGTCTTCCACGTACTGAATGAGGGTCTGGCAACAAAGGTCAAGGGCACAGGGGCAGTGCGAGACCAGCCACTGCACAGCCTGCGAAACCTGAGAAGCAAAGACAGTGGGGAGAGATCTGGTTCAACAATTCACGCTGCTTTTCAGGAAGAGATTCCTGAAGGCGCCCCTCCCACAGCTGCCACAGCAGGTGCCACCGGAGCAGCAGCCTCTCAACCACACCAGGAAGGGGAGCAGAAGCTTCCACTGCAGTTGAGTTTGGTCTCCCAGGGCCCTGGAGACCCACACAGCAGGGACCCCGAGAAGGGCTCCCGTGCCCCTCGCCCCCGAGGAGCGTGGCCTGAAGGACCGCCCCGGAAGGGCTGAAGGCCCAGGGGAAACCAGCCCTACACATCCTCTTCACCTCACACAGAAAAGGAAGCCACGTCTTCCCGTTCTTAGAAGGACTCACAGCTTCACTACGTGCCTGGATGCTTTCACATCCTGTAGTTATCTTTCCTCCTGTACTTATTACTTTTATTTTAATTCCTGGCACTTCTTTGCCTAAATGTAATTATCAGCACAGACTTCCTTTTTTTAAGGAAACTTCTGATAACATTATTTCTTCATATTCCAAGGACAACCACTTACAAAAATAATTATACATCTGACCGTCAGATACAAGACATGAATTGTCATATTTTAAATCCATAACAACAAAACCTCTAAAAAAATTTACACAGTTTAATTTATTGCCAATAGCAGGACTGTGGGCAAATTTTATCTTTTATTTTGATTTCTGCTTATATTTTTAGAAAGTTTCCTGTCAAAACATAAAATTAAAGATGTAAGCAGTAACATACACTAAATTCAAGATAGAGTGAAAGGGAAAAAACTGAAAATATCTTGTCGGACCTTTAAAAATGATAAAACCTTACCTTAGTCGTGCCTTGTAAATCACTAATGGAATCAGGGATCTCAATAACGGTATAATCTGAAATCAGCTTAGCTGAAACCAAATCCTGGAGCATCAGACCTTTAAGACAAACAGACGTAGGTCACCTGTCTCCTGGTAGAGGTCTGCAGGCCAGCAAAGGCATCTCACTGCTCTGACCCTGCCCAGCCCTGCCCCCAGTCACTGCAGCAGCTGCTGTCACGTGACTCCGGACACCACACTGCCAGCACTTTCTCATACCTCCGGCTCTACCCACTTATTTAACATGCCAGCTCATAAATGGAACTGCCTTCACACACCAGCTTCCACTTCCTTCTCCACGGCGTCCCCTCCCGGGCTGGACACAAGAACCACCAGCGGAAGCGCAGGCTGGAAGGGCTTGGCCTGCAGGAGCTGCTTGATCTGCAGCAACGCCGACAGCCAGTACACGTCCTCCTCCGCCACGTCCTCGCTCTTCACTTTGGGGGGAAGCAGCAGCATAAGCCCGCTGGCTCCCAGGAGCTCCTTCTGTGTCTCCGCAGCGTCAAGGGCACAGTCGCTAAGAGCACCGTGGGCCACCTGGAACGGCACCCAGGCCATCAAGATGGGTGCACCAGGGGACAAATCAACAGTGAGCTTCGGTCCCAGAGTGAGCAGAGCCAGATGCTCACCTCACGCCGTGAGGCCGAGAATTAGTACGGAAATTAGTCATAGGTAATGCAGCCTCTGGCTAGACTTGTGTTGGAGCAATTTAATCTTAACAGTTACCTCAAACAGGCTTGTAAAAAACGAGTAAGCCGGGACTTCCCCAGTGGCTTCCCTGGTGGTTAAGAATCTGCCTGCCAGTGCAGGGGACACGGGTTGGATTGCTGGTCCAGGAAGATCCCACATGCCGTGGAGCAACTAAGCCCGTGCACCACAACTACTGAGCCTGTGGTCTAGAGCCCATAAGCCACAACTACTGAGCCCACGTGCCATAACTACTGAAGCCCACGCACCTAGAGCCTGTGCTCCGCAACAAGAGAAGCCACCGCAATGAGAAGCCTGCACACTACAATGAAGAGTAGCCCCCGCTCGCTGCAAATAGAGAAAGACTGTGTGCAGCAACAAAGACCCCATGCAGCCAAAAATTTTTAAAAATTAAAAAAAAAAAAAAGAAACCCAAAGGAAACAGATACCGCATGGCACATAGAAAACTTATGCAAAAATCCTCATTTCCTCTGAGGATGCCTCTGGAAACAGTCATAAGATGATATGAAAAAGTCAAATAAGAACAAGAAAAAGGAAATCAATAATATATATATTATTAAAAACTCAATAGAACATTTGGAATACAAAGTCAAGGAAATCTCCCAGAAAACAGTATTAGAAAACAAGAGAAAATGGGATAGAAAGGATTAAGAGGCTCAGACGCTCAACTGATGAGGCCAACATCAGTCTAATAGGAGTTCAAGAAAGAAGAGAATCAATGAGAAGGAAAGTGGATGTCATCAAGATGCAAAAACGTCAGTCTCCAGCCCACAAGGACCCACCAGGCCCAAACGATGAAACGATGAGGGAAGGAAGTCAGCACCAGGGCCCCAGGGACAGAGTGCAGGCTTCCAAAGAGAAACAAAGTGGACCACAGGGAAAGGAACAGAACAGTTTCAGACATCTCAACAGCAAAGCTGGACGGCAGGTGACAGTGGAGCAAACTAGAAGGAAAATAACTTTCAATCCATAATTCTACAAACCTAGCTAAACTATGAAGCAAATGTGAGAGTAAATACATTTTCAGACAGGCAAGAATGCCAAAAATTCTCCTCCCATGCATTCTTCCTTTGGAAGAAAGTGGAAAACGTGCTCCATCCAACAAGAGACTAAACCCAGAAAACATCGTGCTGCTGCCGCCAACGGCAGCACCGTGTAAGTGCTTGATGTGTCGGACTGCACTCTGTATGCATAACTCACTTGGTCCTCAAGGGTCCCTGTGCACAGTGGCGCCGCGGAGCAGCTGTGTGGCCCCAGGCTATGTGTTTTGGCTCCTCCCTCCCTGGCAAAACCGCATCATGAGTAAGAGCACTGACCCACAGGCGGCGCCCGGCCACGAGGGCCCGGCCACGAGGGCCAGGGCTAGGGGTGGAAGAGCGGGACCGAGCTCTCGGTCTGGAGGGCCTGGCGGAAGCCACAGCGTGGGACACGTTATCCGCCTCAAGGGGAGCAGGAGGGTGGCACCTTCTCAGAGGGAGGGACAAGGTGAAGTGACAGAACACTTAGGAAACTCTATTGAGACACGCACAGCCCATGTGCCGGCACATCTGGGTGATATTAACGAAAGATGAAGATAAAACTACTTAAGTAAGATAATGAGACAACTACTACTTGCAAAAAATAAACAAATGTCGTCACAGAACACTTGCTGGTTCTGGGGCAAATAGCTGTCACACGGCACGCGCGCGCATACACAACACACGCACCCACATGGCCCCACTTGCTGAGATAATATAAAGTAATGATGTAGCCACCTGGAAGATGGGGAGGCTGAGAGGAACTGGGGTATTAAGAGTTCACGCCTCCCACAGTGGGGTGTGCAGCCCCAGGATGGCCCCCACGATGCCACCTCCTCGTGCTGATGTCCGTGCACCGTCACCTGCCCTGAGTGTGAGCTGGGCCCAGTGACACGCTTCTAACGGTATCAGACAAACGTAATGGGGTGCCACCTCTAAGATTAGGCTACAAAGAGATTACACCAGCTTGCTCAGCTGATGGCAGCCAGCTGATGCCCTGTTGTGAGCTGCCTCATAGAAGCCCACGTGGCGTGGCCTGCAGGGAAGTGAATCCTGCCAACAACCACGAGCGTGAGCTTTCCGAGGAGACCAGAGCCCTGGCCTACATCTTGACTTACAGCTGGTGAGGAATCCTGAGCCAGAGGGCCCATCTAAGCCCCACCTGGACTTCTGCCCCACAGAAACTGTGAGTAACAAACGTTTGTTATTTAAAGCTGCCACATTTGGATATTTTTTGTTTTTTGGTTTTTTTGGCCGTGCCGCACAGCACGCGGGGTCTTAGTTCCCGAACCAGGGATCGAACCCAGGCACCCTGCAGTGGAAACGCAGAATCCTAACCACTGGACTGCCAGGGAATTCCCAAAGCTGCCACATTTGGAGGTAACCTGCTATGTAGCAATAGATAACTAATACACATATTTTAATGCAAAGTCAGCAGAGAACATCTAAAGTGGATAAATAAGAGAAATGGCAGTGTAAGGACATGATATGGAAACAGGACAGAAGTCAAGCCTTGGGGAAAGGAGCTAGAAGAAGGGGCAGGGGCTGCAGTTTCTCATCATACATCATGTGGTGCCATCTGAGTTTTTAACTACATGCAAGTATTATTTTGACTTAAAATTTTAAGAATAAAGGCAAGAACAAACTAATTGTCCAGTAGGTGAAGTCTGACTTTGTCATCATAGGAAAAAGGGAAGAACACACCCCAGGATGTTTCTGTTGCCTCTGAATGGTGAGAGCTTAGATGGCTCTTATAATCTTCATACTTCCTCTGTATTTCCTTATGTTTTTAGTTTTATATATGTATTACTTTCACGTTTAAGAAATACAATAAATAGTATTAAAATGGAAAGAAACAAACAAAAATTCTATAGTCAAACTACAGTTTGAAGCAGTTCCAAGGACAGGAGGAACATGCCCTACGGTGCCACATGCAGATGTCCGGGTGTGCCATGAACGTGCCTGTCAGGAAAAGCAGAGGTCAGGCGTGGAGACTTCAGGTCAGGACACGGTGGGCAGGGCCGCTTTCACTGGGCCCCGCTCTGAGCGTGCCGCCGGTCATGATCGCCACACTATGGGAGGCACCAGGCCCAGGTCGGACAGGTGGCCACAGCAGCAGCTACCAACACCAGGTCTGCTCAACATTGAAGCCCACACTTCCTGCCCTGCACTGCTATTTTCTAAGTAAATAAAATATACATCTGGTTTTACTTCTGAACACACACAGTAAAACCTCAAATTCATTTATGCAGGTCTGAATCTAATGAGGAAACAGGTTCTCATTAAACAAGTATCTCTCAGGGAACCAATTAAGCTCAGTATTGCACAAATACCTATAAAGAACAAAAATTAGGGACTTCCCTGGTGGCGCAGTGGTTAAGAATCTGCCTGCCAATGCAGGGGACATGGGTTCAAGCCCTGGTCTGGGAAGATCCCACATGCTGTGGAGCAACTAAGCCCGTGTGCCACAACTACTGAGCCTGTGCTCTAGAGCCCACGAGCCACAACTACTGAGCCCGCGTGCCACAACTACTGAAGTCCGCGCACCTCGAGCCCGTGCTCCGTAACAAGAGAAGCCACTGCAATGAGAAGCCTGTGCACTGCAACGAAGAGTAGACCCCGCTCGCCGCAACCAGAGAAAGCCCACGTGCAGCAACGAAGACCCAACGCAGCCGAGAGAGAGAGAGGAAGAAAGAGAGAGAGAGAGAGAAAGAAAGAGAGAGAGGGAGAGAAAGAGAGAGGAAGGAAGGCAGGAAGGGAAAGGAAAGAAAATTAGAACTTATAATCAAAAACTGAGGACAACTTTAATGTAAAACAAAAACAAGTAACCTGAAATGCCCACTACTGAATCTAAGTGAAAACTGCATAGGATTAAAACACATTAGTCTTTGGTAAGACCTGATATATCAGGAAGCTATTTAACAAAGATTTCAGCAGCTGACAGACCATATGAGATGCAACAGCCACTGCATTTTTTTGTAATGCTCTGTCTCATCCCTCTTGGGTTAGTTACCAGAGGTCCGTGGAATTCAGGGCTTCTGAATTATAGGTGAACATATGGACTTCTCAGGATTGTTCTGGGTTTTCACCAAGTTCTCAAAGAGAGGTCTGTGACCCAAGACAGTTAAGACTCACTGCACTCCCGAGAATCTAGCCTGGTCTCTCACACCAAGGGGTGTGCATGGGATGTCGTCAAGACGCAAGGAGGAACCGACACGACACTTGCTTCTGAGCCTCCCACATTGTTTCAGGGCCCTTCAGGGAAGCTATGTGACTCCAATCATGTCTGGGAGTGAGCGCAAATGAGAAAATCACAGAAGTACATGCACTAAGCGATGGTCACTCACCTTGACGCACACACTGACAGAAACTGTCTGATTCCCTTTGCTGCTGAGAGTGTTAAAGAGAGTGAGCGTCTGGATCCCACCAACATCGCGGTACGTGTCATCCACTGAGCCAGCATCTCCTGTGAACTTGACTTTTAACCAGTTTGCTAGAACTCTGTGAATAAAAGAAAATAACACTTGAAGGAGAGTCTAATCCTAAATTTGAACTACAAAGAGAAATATTACACAGATGTAAATACACAAACACCAAATCTTACTATAAAGGTGATCTGAACTAATAAACAGACTGTGATTTTTTAAATGGCGTTAGGAACTCTACTGGGTTATATATTTGAGAGGACACTCATTCTAATGTGATCTATGATTATTTATTTATTTATGGCTGTGTTGGGTCTTCGTTTCTGTGTGTGGCCTTTCGCTAGTTGTGGCAAGCGGGGGCCACTCTTCATCGCGGTGCGCGGGCCTCTCACTATCGCGGCCTCTGTTGTTGCAGAGCACAGGCTCCAGACGCGCGGGCTCAGTAATTATGGCTCACGGGCCCAGATGCTCTGCGGCATGTGGGATCTTCCCAGACCAGGGCTCGAACCCGTGTCCCCTGCATTGGCAGGCAGATTCTCAACCACTGCGCCACCAGGGAAGCCCCATGATTTATGATTTTGAAGCACTAAGAAAAGATTCTGAGCAACAGAAAAGGTCCTTAGAGTTTACCATACAACCCAGCAATTCCACTCCTAGGTATATAACCAAAAGAACTGCAAACATATGTCCACACAAACACTTACACGTCAATGTTCACAGAAGCGTTATCATCATAATCAAGAAGTGGAAACACCACAAATGCCCATCAACTGATGAACAGAGAAATAAAATGTGATATATTCATGCAATCAAATATCATTCGGCCACAAAATTAAGGACTAATATATGCTACAACATGAATGAACCTAGAAAACATTATGCTAGTCATAGAAGACTACGTGTTTTCGGCTTCTATTTGTATGAAATGTCCAGAATAGGCAAATGAATAGAGACAGAAAACAGATTAGTAGTTGCCAGGGGCTGCAGGTAAGAAGGGATGGACTGATCATGGGCATGGATTTCTTTTTAGGTGAAAAAGTGTTCTGCAATTAGATAGTTGTGATGGTTATACAACTCTGTGAATATACTAGAACCAGTGAAATGTACACTTTAAATGGCAGAAATTTATGATATGTGAATTACATCTAAAAAAGAAAAGTAACATGTTCCATAGTTGCTTTAAAAGTATGTTATCTGGGGCTTCCCTGGTGGCGCAGTGGTTGAGAGTCCACCTGTCGATGCAGGGGACGCGGGTTTGTGCCCCGGTCCGGGAAGATCCCACATGCCGCGGAGCGGCTGGGCCCGTGAGCCATGGCCGCTGAGCCTGCGCATCCGGAGCCTGTGCTCCGCAACGGGAGGGGCCACAACAGTGAGAGGCCCGCGTACTGCTCAAGTATGGTTTCTGGAAGCAACTTGGTTACAAGAAACAATGCCATGTCAACTTTTTCGATTTCTTTTTAAAAATGCCAGAAGTTTTTTACCTAAGGAAAAAATGGAACTATAGCAAACAAACTAAACTGTCTTCCCCAAGAGTCTAAAATGAAGCAGGCTCTCATCAACATACCTCAGCATAGCTTTAAGTCACAATCAAGTCTGAAATGTTTTTGGACAAAGACTGTTGCCAACGATACAAAATAAAAATGTGAATAATATAAAGCGTCAACTTCAAATAACAAACAAAACAGCCTGCAAAGCTGAGCATCAAAATGAAAGCAGGCGTCAGGGGCCCCAGGAGGAGAGGAGCACACTGGGCTGACACCCGGCCACCCCCGTGTGCCACACTCAGCTGCCAGATGCTCTGGAGAAGTCACCCCGCCTCCCGGCCGCTTGCTGAGCATCTAGCCCCACAGGGGGAGACCTGCCTGACCTGCCAGGACTCCCTGGGGACTGCTCTTCTCCATCAGGCAACACCAGCACCAGCTTCCAAAACACGTGCTCCTGCCGCCCCGGGAGGTGCTCAGCCACGAGAGATGGCAGGTCCAGGGGTGCCCATGCCGCGTCACTGGAAGGGACAGAGCACCACAGGTGAGCCACCACACGAGCCCCCGGCAGCAGCAGCGTACACGGCGGGCGGGGGGTGACCAACCTCAGCAGCTGCTGGTAGAAGTGCTGAACCTTCATCTGGTGCGCCACCTTGTTTCTGAGACACCTTAACCTGCGAAGGAAGAACCACACAGAGCCTACGTGAGGCCCACTCAGCACCCACCGAGGAACCTGATAAGCACTTAGTGATGTTCTGAGTGCGAAGTAATTGGTTAGTGAGTGTCTCCCAGTGGGGAATACTTAGGAGACCAAGAAACCTTTGCCGATAGAGACACAGTTTAGTCAGAGGACTTGTTCATTCCATAAATATCAAGCAATTATCTACTGTGTTCCAGTCATGGCAGATCAGCAGTAAACAGACAAAAACCCTGCCCCGCTAGAACACACGCCTTGTAGGGAGAGAAGGGCCTCTGTTAGTGGGTGGCGTGACAGGCGCGGTGGGCAGGCTGTGGACTTACACAGGGTGGTCAGAGGTGATATGGGAGCAAAGACTGAAGGAAATAGCGGCGCCAGCATGTGAGTTCTGGGGGACAGGCCAGACCAAGTCAGGAGTGGGCCTGGCAGGTACACAGAATGAGCACAGGGAGAGCAGCGGGGGCAGCCAGAGCGCAGGGTGGGGGCCACTACGAAGGAACTCAGAGAGCAGCCCAGGGACGTCGACAGGGACGTGAGGCGACCTGACCCTGATGTGGTGGTGAGGACACCAGGGTGCAGGGGTCAAGGGCGGAAGCCAGCGGACGGGACAGGTGGCTACGTGAGAGGGGTTGGTGGTGGAGGTGGTGAGGGTAGAGCCGCAGGATGGTGGATCTGAGTCCAGGTGTGACCCAGCCCAGGGAGGACAGGCTGGCATGCTGTGAGCCAGAGGAGGCACCGAGTGCAGCAGGCCAGGCGAAGACTAGGTTCCGATGTTGAACTGGGGGCGTGGGGAAGAGGCCTCGGCTGGAGATGCACGAAGCGAGCTGTCAGCGTGTAGGATGGAGAAAGATTACCAGGGGAGGAGGCAGAGGGGAAGAAGAGGGGCCGGCGGCTGTGCTGGAGGGAGGGGGAGGGGACAGAGAGAGGGCCGTCCTGACACAGGTGACACAGCCAGGACTCCAGGAGGCAGCGGGCCAAGGCTGAAGGCCCCAACACGCACAGCACATCAGACACAGGCCAGCACCATCACCACCCTGCTTGCAGACGCAGGCACAGGACGTGGGGACGTGGGCAGCTACACAAAGTTTGTTAGAGGCGTGGAGCTGGTGATAGCCCAGGCGAGGACAAGATGTGCCTCGAGACCCCAGCAGGGTGGGCTGCCACTGCGCCTCTGTGTCGTCTTCCTAGGCCCCCACTGGGAGGCTCCTCTCCAGAGGCGACAGCGGCCTGGTCTGAAGAGAGAGGCCGAGCCCTGCATGGCCAGGATTGGGCAGCTGAAGCCAGGACCTGGGCAGGGAGCCGGGTACATGCGGGGTGGCCAGGAGGAGCGGCAGGGAGGGCCATGCGAGGGGACACAGGGAGGGGGCGTGTAAGAGAAGAGACCTGATGGCAGGAGGGGGAGTCGCTAAAATGCTGCCACCGCAGACCCAGGGTAGCAGAGGGGTCGGGGTGGGGGTGGGGGTGAGGCCAACACAGACCTCTGGCTCCACCACTGAGAATGGACACGATGTGTCCTTAAGCTACGAAGGCAAGGAGGAAACAGGTAATTCCAGGGAAAATTCGATTGGCAGGACCAGGAGTGTTTTAAGGGGAAAAGGCAGGTGAAATCACAGCAGGTAGAGCAACTCTCACTCCGAAAACGCAATCCTGCGTCCGCCTTCACCTCCTCTGACTCCACCCATCTTCCCTGCAAACAGACGCGTTAATCCACACCCTCGATGAAGCCAGTTGGGGCAGGAGGCGCTTAGGAGGCCCTGGGCTGCTGACCTGGTGCAGGAGATGCCCACTCTCCCCGCGTGGCCCAGATCCAGGAGGCCCTTGGCCAGGTTCTCCTCTGCAATGGGGCACTCTGCGCTGGGCGCCAGTGCCCTCAGCCGGTCATTCATGTCCATACAGCAAGGCGCCGCAGGGAAGGCCCGCATCTGGCGCCTCAGTTTCTTCCGGGCTGCGACACCTTCCCTCCACCTAGAGGAGAGACCAAAGTATCATCACTGGGTGTTTTTGCCATGGGGACAAGGCAAAAACATCTCCAGCATTAACATGGGAAACATTTTCTGCCAGTATGTTTAGGTCTTTTTCAGCAACAGTTCTCAAACTGAGAAATGGATCAGAACTGAAACTCAAGGTATGGGGGACGCATGATAACGAATGAGTGGTGGGCAATGAAACTACTGAACTTAAGAGTGAATGCTGAGGGACTTCCCTGGTGGTGCAGTGGTAAGACTCTGTGCTCCCAATGCAGGGGGCTGGGTTCGATCCCTGGTCAGGGAACTAGATTGCACATGCATGCCGCGACTAAGAGTTTGCCCACGCCGCAACTAAGGAGCCAGTGAGCGGCAACTAAGGAGCCTGCGAGCCGCAACTAAGGAGCCCGCATGCCACAACTAAGACCTGGTGCAACCAAATAAATTAATTAATTAAAAAAAAAAGAGTGAACAATCTCTGGAGGCCAACTTGCCAATCTGGACACAAACACAGATCCATACACCCTTTGACCCAGCAGACACCACCGACAGGATTTTCTCTCCAGACGTGTGTGCACCTGTGTGAAACGTCTGCACAAGGGTGCCACCGCAGCAGTCTTTGTCACAGCTAGAGAGAGAAAGCCATGTGAAAGTCCACCCGTGGGACCAGGCAGGCCATCTACCATGTGCTCTGGCAACGCCACCTCAGCGCACTGACGGCAACGGGGAGAGGCCACCGCGCTGCTGCAGTCAGGTCTCCGCCCTATGTCACAGAGAGTCAAGAAAAGTTTGGCACAGAGTAGGGAACGCGCGCCCACCTCTGCCAACCATCACACAAAGGTCAGAGGTCCTCGTGGGATGGAGACTCATTTCTCACTGAATCCTTTTACACGGCTGCAACTGTCAAGTACACTATTACTTTCTTTAAATGTTATTATGAAATGAATCATTATATAACATATGTAACACATGTACACCCATTTTAAAGACTAATGATAAATCAAACACCCACATCCTTCCATGCAGTGGAGAATGGGTGGCCAAGACCAGCAGCTGATCCCCACGGGCCCTGCTCAGTCACACACCCTCTCATTCCCAAAGGTAACCACTATGCTGGGTTTATGTTTGTTATTTTCCTTCTTTAGGGTTGTACTACTATATATAAATCCAAAACAATCCATTTAGTTTGAATACAGTTTGTATGTTGCACACATTTCCCTAAGAATTGCTTTCTTTCACTATAAATTATGTTTCAGAAATTCACCCATGTGGGCGCATACAGCTATCATTTGGCTTGTTCATGGCCCTCTCCCTGTGTCTAGCACATTGGGTAAACAGCAGAAGGCTACCTATAAATATCTGTTGAAATATAGAGCGGTCCCCCCACCCCAATCTAATTCTTTACTTAGTTTATACCCTTTAGGAAGGAACATGTTACATGTGCATATCATCAGCTGTTTCTGAAAGTATAATCTTTGTCAAAGACTCTCCCTGTATGCATTGATTTTATCTGTAAGGACACGGGACTCACCGCTGGAGATACTTGCAGAAGCACTGAAGTTCCTGGAGGGTCTCTTTTGCAGTCTGGAAAATTTCCTCCCCAAGAAACAAGTCCACCAGGTGTGCACAGACGTCCTCACAGCAACGGGCCATGCGGAGCCTCTGCTCTGTCTCCACTGCACTCCTAGGGAAAAGGGCAATCAGCATGAGACACTGCACCCAAGGCCCCACCCTGAGGGCCTGCCTTAAAAGCATGAGTCCACGTCCTTGATACTGAAATGTAATGATATCTTTGCTGCAAGGAAAGCTTGAAGATTTCACTTTATATAATGCACAGACATCTGGAAATTTAGAGAAAAAAGAACTAAAGTGGTACAGGGTACAAGATTATAGATCCAACAGGGCCCTTATAAATAGTCAGGAGATAACCCTGTATCTTATAGTTAGAAATTTAATTTTTAAATGACCATTGAGACAACTGAAATATCTTCTCATCAACAACATCTGATGTTTGCAATTAGAAATGTCTCAAGTATATGATAGCTGGCTACAGAGGCTGACAGCCTAAGGTCATGTGACAGTGGCCCTCAGATAAACCAGAATCTGAAAGAGATTTTTTATAACAAAATCCTATCAACCAAGGGATCACAGAGGCCTTTATCAAATATATTTAGCCATTAAGTCAAAGAAGCCCAGACAGGCAAGACCCATTTCCGATAGCTGTCCTCTGTGGTGATGGAGACAGCCCTGGGCCGAGCTATAGTCCAAGTCTTCTGGAACTGCAGAGAACAGCAGTTTCCCTGCACATCAATGAGTCCTAGGTTTTACATATCTCTCTTTTTTTTTTTTTTTTTTTTTGCGGTACGCGGGCCTCTCACTGTTGTGGCCTCTCCCGTTGCGGAGCACAGGCTCCGGACACGCAGGCCCAGCGGCCATGGCTCACGGGCCCAGCAGCTCCACGGCATGTGGGATCCTCCCAGACCGGGGCACGAACCCGTGTCCCCTGCATCGGCAGGCGGACTCTCAACCACTGCGCCACCAGGGAAGCCCTACATATCTCTTAATACCCCTTCCTGGGATTAAGAACAGACAAATACCCATCATTTGTGAGGTCTCTTGCTTAGAGTAAACAGTGAAATAGACTCCCAATTAATAGAAATGGAAAGAAATATTAATTAAACAATATACTCTGCCTCCTGGCTATATTCCCCATCTGCACCAGAGGCTGCAGACCTATCTCAGGGGAACTTAAACGCAAGGACAGATTTCCCAGCACAACTGAACCTCTTTCTTCCCTGAAGCTTGGCACTGAAATTAATAAAGTTCTTAAGTGAAATAGCTCAAAGGAATCTTTTAACATATGAAACAAAGGAAAGGATCTTCTACTTGAGAAAAACTAACGGTGAGTAACCTGGTGTGGAGAAGACCACCAGCGAATTCTTTTGCTTAAAGACACATCCCCACGCCCAGGGCAAGGTCAACAAGGAGGATGAGAGTGAAAGTAAGGGCCTCCCTGGAAGCAACGCACACAAGAACAGGGACAGCCTGTCAGTACCTGGCTAACCAGAAGATATGCTCCTTGTCAAAATGAAAGCCAGCTAGCATGAGCTGGACCAGCCTGGCCACGGGGCCTCTAACCCTCCTCCCAGCCGCCCACCCGCCTCACGCTGCAGGCGCCAGCGCTTCACTTACTTCAATTCCTGGGAGCAGGTTTCCCTCACACGTTCTGTCACCACGAGCTCTGTCAGCTCTGCAGCTAGGTCCTGGCTCAGCTGCGTTAACACCAGTTCTCTCTCTTGTTTCAACCTGAGGGAAAAGGAGCACAAGAAGTAACAGGCGTCACACTCTGTGACCTTGAGAGTGGGGATCTGAGTTGTGCTGCCTGACCCCTCCGGTTCCACCAGACAGGCCACACAGCCATGCCCACTCCAGTTCCCTGACCACCACCCACACCCCCTCTGGCTGGGGAGGGGCTGCTGCTTACAAGGTGGGACCTGCCCGCTCCCTGGGCCGTAGCACACGAAGGCGCAGGGCGAGCCGTGGATCTGACACGAGCGCAGTGGGCAAAAGCGAGAGCGTCGTAGGCCAGGGCAGGTTCTCCCCGTGTCCACACACTCCACCCCCACGGCACTGCAGGGATGAGACACCCTCACCTCTCTTCTTCAGCCCGCCGCCTCTCTTCCTCTTTCCGCTCCCTTTCCTTAGTCACTTCTTCACTTGCAATGTGCCTCAAAATGCCCATGGTTGCAGCTGTTAACAGCTCCTCCATAGCAGCATTGGAAACACTAGACAGAGCAAAGTGGACATTGCTCTAAATAAATAATAAAAGCCACACAAACCGTATTACTAGACTTCTAATACTAGCAAGGGAAAAAATACCTATTTGCCTTCCAGCATAAAAACGAAGCCCATGGTTAGGAACACACACTCCATCAAAACTGACTCAGGAAAAAAAGAAAATCTAAATAAACCTATAACTAGTTAACAGACTGACTCAGTATTTTAAAACATCTTCCAGCAAAGAAAAATCCAGGATGAGAGGGCTTCACTGGCAAATTCTACCACACACTTAAAGAAGAACTAACACCAACTCTTCTCAAACTCTTCGAAAAAACCGAGGCACAAGGAACACTTCCTAACACCTCTACGAGGCCAGCATTCCCCCGACCTGATACCAAAGCCAGACAAAAACACTACAAGAAAACTAGTGACCAATATCCCTTGTGGACATTGAGGTAAAAATCCTTAACAAAATACTAGCAAACCAAAATTAAGCAATATACTGAAAGGATTATACACGACCAAGTGTATAATCTCACACTACCAAGAGAGATTTATTCCTGGAATGCAACAAATGAAAATCAATGTAATACAACCACATTAATAAACTGAAGGGGAAAAAACCCACAAAATCATCTCAATTAATGCAGAGAGAGCATCTGACAAATTCAATACCATTTCATGATAAAAACACTCAATAAATTAGGAAGAGAAGGGAACTTTCTCAAAATGATAAAGACCATATATGAAACACCCACAGCTAACATCATATTCAGTCGTGAAAGATAGAAAGCTTTTCCTCTAAGATCAGTAACAAGACAAGAGTGCCCTATCTGCCATTTCTATTCAACACCGTATTGAAAGTTATAGCCAGAGCAATTAGACAAGAAAAATAAAAACATCCAAACTGGAAAGGAAGAAGAAAACTACGTGTATTCACAGATGACAGGATCCTGTATGTAGAAAATCCTAAGGGATCCACTCAAAAGCTATTACAATAAAAAAAAGTTCAACAAGGTTGGAATATAAGGATCAACACCCCAAAATCAATGGCATTTCTATACACGAGCAATGAACGTTCTGAAAGTGGAATTGAGGAAACAATTCCATCTACAATAGCGACAAAAAGAATAATATAATTAGGAACAAATTTAACCAAAGAAACAAAAGACTTGTACAATAAAAATTATAAAATGTTGCTGAAAGAAATTAAGGAAGACATAAACAAATGGAAAGATATCCAAGTTCATGGACTGGAAGACTTCATATTGTTAAGATGCCAGTACTACCCAAAGCAATCTACAGATTCATTGGAATCACCATCAAAATCCCAACATAACTTTTGCAGAAGTAGAAAAACCCATCCAAAAATTCTTATGAAATTTAAAGGGTCTCCAAATAGGGAAACAGTCTTCAAAGAGAAAGTTGAAACAAAGCTGAAGGACTCGCACTTTGAGATTTCAAAACTTACAACTTACTACCAAGTTATAGTAATCAAATCAAAACAATATGGTACTACCATAAAAACAGACATATAGGGCTTCCCTGGTGGCGCAGTGGTTGAGAGTCCACCTGCCGACGCAGGGGACACGGGTTTGTGCCCTGGTCTGGGAAGATCCCCCATGCCGCGGAGCGGCTGGGCCCGTGAGCCATGGCCGCTGAGCCTGCGCGTCCGGAGCCTGTGCTCCGCAACGGGAGAGGCCACAACAGTGAGAGGCCCACGTACCCCCAAAAACAAACAAACCAAAAAACACAGACATATATACCAATGGAATATAGCGCCCAGAAAGAAACCCTCACATATATGGTCAACTGATTTTGAACAGGGCGGCAAGACCATATGAAGGGAAAAGGACAGCCTTTTCAACACTGGTGCTGCGAAAACTGGATACCCAAGAACAATGTTGGATCCTTATCTTACACAATATATAAAAACAAAATCAAAATGGATCAAAAACCTAAATTTAAGAGCTGAAATTATAAAATGCTTAGAAGAAAACACAGGGGAAAATCTTCACATTATTGGATTTGACAGTGACTTCTTGAATATGATACCAAAAGCACAAGCAACAAAAATAGATAAATTGGACTATATAAAAATTTTAAATTTTTGTGCATCAAAGGACACTATCAAAACAGTGAAAAGACAATCCACAGATTGGGAAAAAAATACTTGCAAATCAAATATTGAAAAAGGATTAGTATCCAGAATATGAAAGAACTCCTACAACTCAACAACAAAAAAATTCAAGAATGGGCAAAGGGCAAATGAAGCAACTGACAAAGGATTGATCTCCAAAATTTATAAGCAGCTCATGCAGCTCAATAACAAAAAAACAAACAACCCAATCCAAAAATGGGCAGAAGACCTAAATAGACATTTCTCCAAAGTAGATATACAGAGTGCCAACAAACACATGAAAGGATGCTCAACATCATTAATCATTAGAGAAATGCAAATCAAAACTACAATGAGATATCATCTCACACCGGTCAGAATGGCCATCATCAAACAATCTAGAAACAATAAATGCTGGAGAGGGTGTGGAGAAAAGGGAACACTCTTGCACTGCTGGTGGGAATGTAAATTGATACAGCCACTGTGGAGAACAGTATGGAGGTTCCTTAAAAAACTAAAAATAGAACTACCATACGCCCCAGCAATCCACTACTGGGCATATACCCTGAGAAAGCCATAATTCAAAAAGAGTCATGTACCAAAATGTTCATTGTAGCTCTATTTACAATAGCCCGGAGATGGAAACAACCTAAGTGTCCATCATCGGATGAATGGATAAAGAAGATGTGGCACAGATATACAATGGAATATTACTCAGCCATAAAAAGAAATGAAATTGAGCTATTTATAATGAGGTGGATAGACCTAGAGTCTGTCATATACAGTGAAGTAAGTCAGAAAGAGAAAGACAAATACCGTATGCTAACACATATATATGGTATTTAAGAAAAAAAAAAGTCATGAAGAACCTAGGGGTAAGACAGGAATAAAGACACAGACCTACTAGAGAATGGAGTGGAGGATATGGGGAGGGGGAAGGGTAAGCTGTGACAAAGTGAGAGAGTGGAGTGGACATATATACACTGCCAAACGTAAGGTAGATAGCTAGTGGGAAGCAGCCGCATAGCACAGGGAGATCAGCTCGGTGCTTTGTGACCGCCTGGAGGGGTGGGACAGGGAGGGTGGGAGGGAGGGAGACGCAAGAGGGAAGAGATATGGGAACATATGTATATGTATAACTGATTCACTTTCTTATAAAGCAGAAACTAACACACCATTGTAAAGCAATTATACTCCAATAAAGATGTAAAAATAAAAAAAAAAGAATGGGAAAAGGACTTACATAGACATTTCTGTAAAGAAGATACACAAGTGACCAATAATTACATGAAAAGATGCTCAACATCATTAGTCCTTAGAGAAATGCAAATCAAAACCACAGTGAGTTACCACTTCACACATTATAATGGTTATTATTTAAAAAAAAAAAAAGAAGGACAGCAAGTGTTGGCGAGAATGTAGAGCAACTGGACCCCTTGTGCACTGCTGGTGGGGATGCAAAAATGGTGCTGCTGTTGTGGAGAACAGTTTGCTGATTTCTCAAAAATGTAAAAATATATCATATGATCTAGTAATTCCACACCTAAACATATACCCGTAAGAACTGAAAGGGACTCAAACAGTTATTTGTCCCCAGTGTTCACAGCAGCATCATTCACAATAGCCAAAAGGTGGAAACACCTTATTAAGCACGGGTGAATAAATAAAATGTGGCATATATACATGTGTATGTGTGCGCATATATTTAATGGAGTATTGTTCAGAAATAGATCTGGAAGTAGACAATGGTGATGAATACACGACATTGTAAATATACTTAATGCCATTGAATTGTGAGCTTAAAAATGGTTAAAATGGTAAATTCTGTTATATTTTACCACAATAAAAAAAACAAACCCATGGAAATCTTACTTTTAGCTCCATCAAACAGAAAGTATGTATCTAATTCTAGTATATAAAAAACTGAACAAACCTATGAACAAGACTGACCCTTTTGTGTAAACTACATTTATACAAGGAAATATCTGGTTGGCCAAAATGTGCCTTCGGTTTTTAAGTATTGATAATACCATTTCGTATAATTGTGTCACTTTATATGTACTAGAATTTTTACAAGTTTGAAATCCTTAAGAAAGTCTGACTTACTAAACTTGGCAGATTTTAATTAACTATTAACTCCAAAAGTTGCTTAAGTGTCTAGAAAGATTTTGATTATTAAATTTATCAAGACTAGATGCTGGGCTTCCCTGGTGGCGCAGTGGTTGAGAGTCCGCCTGCTGATGCAGGGGACACAGGTTTGTGCCCCGGACCGGGAAGATCCCACATGCCGCGGAGCGGCTGGGCCCGTGAGCCATGGCCGCTGAGCCTGTGCGTCTGGAGCCTGTGCTCCGCAACGGAAGAGGCCACAACGGTGAGAGGCCCGCGTACCGCAAAAAAAAAAAAAAAAAAAAGACTAGTTGCTTAAAGTGTTCCACAAAATCAGCTTTATAAAATTTGTAAGTGTAGTTTGAAATGTCTAAGGAAATTTCATCATGGTGTTAAATGCAAATGGTATAAAATGTTTAAGGGAATTTAATCTGTCAAATTTATAAACTGTGACTTAATCCAAGATCAAGTAAAGTGAGTGTTTTTATTTTTTAACAGAGAATGAACTAATTATTACTAGATTTTTTTTATTACTAGATTTTTGATCACATTTAAAGTTGAAAGAAAAACAGGTTTCTAATTTACAACTTTAATAAACCTAATGCTACTCAAAAGTCATACACACATAGAAACTACCTGCAAACGACAAACGCAGGTCAGGAGCATGAGGGACTATACCCACCAGCGAGCAGGACCGACACTGAAGCCTGTGCAAAGGGGTGGCTGTGATCTCTTGTCGAAGACTGAGAGCAGCTTTCTGAGAGGAAGCGTCTGGCGGGAGCACATACGGCCTCAGAGCACGAGAGGCACCGCACTTACCCCAGGGCTGTGGCTGCGAAGGCTGCCCCGGCGGCGCCAACTTCCTCGCAGTCCCTCTGAAGAACCTCCCGGATGAGCTCATCCACCACCTGCGCCAGGTCCTAAGGAGAGGGCAGACGGGGCCACGATCACTGGCTGGGGACGCCGCCCTGATCCAGCCCCAGCGCACCACCAAGCCATCGCCTCCACAGCCTAAGGTACTGAAGGTCTTCCCGGAACCACAGAGACATCATGGACCATCCGCCCAGCTCAGAAATCCCTCCAAGACCTCATCACCGGAAGCTGTTTGGAGTCGTCTAATGACCCTTACACGGGGCTCGGCTGTGCGCTCCTGGAAAGGGTTCCTGCTAATAACCAGAGAGGAGCCTTCTGGACGTGCCAGGACAAGCCTGCTGCCTGCTCAACGATGGCCATTCAGACGGCCACAGTGCCGCACCCCAACATCACACGTGTCCGGCTTCTGTGGCCCTGCCTCATTCCCCACCTCAGGCCTCCTTGATCCCCCAGTGGGGTGGTGCCCAGTGCCTGCCCAAGCAACAGGGTGGCGAGATCAAGTCACACGACCTGTGTGGTGGGTAGGCCCTGCTCAGCCCCGGGGCCACCTGTCAGAGGCATGCTGACCCCAGGGACACCCCAAGGACACAGACAGTGGTCAGACTGGACAGCAGAGGCAGCTGGATGTTTGCCCACGACGGGCCCTCAGAGCCCTGACAGGAAGGTTCCTTACCTCGTCCGAGTACACAGGCGCAGACTTTGGGGGAAGGAGCTCCAGCTGCACGGGGGGCTGCACGGGGGGCTGCACGGGGGGCTGGAAGAGGCTGGGTGCCATGCTCAAGGGCAGTGCCGGGAGTTGTGGAGGAGAAGCTGGCACAGGGGTGGGCAGGGGCTGCAGAAGGAGAGCCGGGAGGGTCTCGTCCCCCTCCATACTGCACTCCTCTCCTCTCCCTACACCTGGAAGGAACAGGCAAACGTGGGCACCGAGGACAAGCCCTGGCCACCCACAGTGACCCTAAGGACTGGCCACCCTCCCCAAGCTGACCGCCACAGGGCCCCTCCTGGGCCACGAGCCGGGGGGCCGTGTGCGCTTCACCCGTGGGAACAAAGCACTGTGGCGCCAGGGAGCCGTTCAGGCAGCACCGAGCTGATGTCGCCGGGCCCCAGGATGAGGCCTCCTAGAGGGGAGCGCAGCTGGTGCCCTCCTGAGAGCGCAGCCTCACTCACCCGCCACGTCCGAGCCGGGTCTCTGAGTGCCCGTGGGCAACTCCGCAGCCAGGCTGTCCCCGACGTACTTGTTCTGGGAGTTGAAGCTGCACACGGGGGTGTGACGGGGAACAGGGGGTAATGGCCCTCCATTCACGATCTCCCCAACGGACACCGTCAGCTTCCTGGTAATAAACACCGACTTCCTGGCCTTGGATAAACCCTCTGGTTCCAGGAACGAGGACCGGTTCAGCTCGACACAGCTACCCAGATCACAGAGAACCCATGGAGAGGCGTTACACAGGCGAGAGGCCACCCTTCACCTCCTCAGTGCCCTGCAGTCACTGCGTCGCCAGACGGCCATGTGGAACTGAGGGGAGGCATCAAAGGCCGCGCCCAAGGCCCAGCCCACGGCATCCACCACTGCCAGCGTTTCCTTCTGACTCGGGAGCTACCTGGCCTCACTGTTAGCAGCCCTGGGTGCAGCAACGCTCCCCTACACGCTCCCGGCTCATCCCGTGAGGGCAGGTCTGCAGGCAGCAGACGGGGCCAGGGCTGAGGAGTCAGAGGAGGATGGGTTCAGGGAAACCCCGGATCCGGACACGACAGGCTACAGATTATGGAGCCATTTTCTGGGAGAGGGTCCACAAGTCCTACCACGTTCTCAAAACTCTGACTGCAGCAGAGGAGAGGCCCTGGCCTGGCCAGAGAGGCCATCCTCAGGGACAGAACAAGGAAGGCCCCAACCTCGACCATCAGCTTCTTGAGTAACTTGGGAAAAGTCAGGAAGAGTCTGAACCCTAACCTGCTGAGGAACAGCGTGTGTCCTGGGGACATCCCCCGCGGTCCTGAGCCTCGCCTGCTCCCCTGCAGCCCAGGCAGCGGAACGTGCCTTCGCCAGGGCCTGGCGCACAGCTGGCGCTTCCCAGCCTCCCCAGGGTTAACAGGGAGAGAAGGAGAGCGGCCCGGCGGTTCGGGCCTCGGTGCTTACCCGTCGGAGACAGTGAGGCCGTGGCAGCTGAGGAAGCCTGTGGCGTCCTCTCCGTCTCTGAAGAGCAGCATGCGCACCACGCCGTCCAGGGGAAAGGTGGTGGAGCGCTGAGTGCTCGCGGTGTACGCCACGTTGAGCGCTCGGAGCGCGTCCTTGCGGATCTGAGAGAAGCCAAGTCACTGAGTCGCAGAGGGTCAGGCGCTCCGTGACCGCAGACGGCTCAGTCCCTCTGGAAAGCACCCCGGGTCCCAAGCTTAGCGCTCATCGGGCCGTCTGCTCAGCAGAATGCCCAGAAATGATGCAAAGCAAACAGTTTCACATACGGAAAAGGCTGGGCCACGAAGGCTTTACTTATAAGAAAAACTAGAAAACCAACCACCCACCAGCAGGGCAGGGAGAGTACACTGTGCATCCGCCACTCAACAGAAAGCCGTACAGCTGCTGAAAATTACTGCAGAGATGATGGAATGCCATGGAAAGCGTGTGACATGAAACTGAGTAAAAGTCAGAGAGAAAGTTGCTTCACAGCATCACACTGAGCATTTTAAACACGGGGACAGAGGGAACCATGAAGGCACAGACAGGTCAGTTTGATCCCAGGACCACGGTGGCCCTGCCTCTCCTCTTCAGTGGGCTTCAACCAACTCAACCCAGATCTACAGTGTTACTTCAAGGCTGGCATGCACGTCCATGCTGAGTGTCCAACAGTGGGCAGACAAGACCCCTGTCCTCACGTAGCTGACGTGGCAGGAGACACCAACACTGAACAAAACGTACGTACAAAATGCACAGTGCGTTTAACGGTGACAGTGCAACAGAGAGAAGAGCTGTGGAGGAGGGCAGGGCGCGCTCTGCCTAGAAGGGGAGCCCAGCCCGGCCCTGGTGGAGGGGAGCTCTGCGCGAGTGCTGGGGGCTGGGGGGCTGGGGGTGGAGCCAGGGAAGACGGGAGAGGAGATGAGGTCCAGGAGACAATAGGCCACTGTGGGCCACTGTTAGTGAAACGCTTTGTCTTTCTAAAGAAAAACACTTAGGTTTCTGTTGAGTTTAAAATTATTAAAATGGGTACAAATGGTCGACTATCACTGGTATTTATCAACTGCACAGAGTTCCCCAAGCAGCATGTCGTTAGAAATCTTTTCATTTGTTCCAGAGTTTCAGTTCTCTTGGAAACTGTCGGATCTGACAATGAGCAAACTTGCAGAAGACTTTGCCTGGGATGTGATGGTGGGTTTAGTCACTGTTTACCGGAGGACTTGTGACCAAAGAAGAAAAATGACCTGGAGTCACAAAACCAGCCAGGCAGGTTCCCGAGATCTCCCAGGCAATCTCCTCCCCACCCGGCGGCCGCCAGGGGCTCCCAGCAACGACTCCAGGCGGAATTCTCCCGGCATTCCCCACCACCACCCCACCCGCCCGCAGCTACGGGACAGCACAGGGGCTGCAGTGTGAGGTGGGTGTGCAGGCTGCTCTATTATAGTCCCTGAGTGCTTCAGAAGGCGAAGACCTGACTCTGGAAATCTGAGACCAGGAGTTCACACTCTATGCAAATCCTGAGGTAAGAGACTGGTCTTGCACCGTCTTTGTAACCCCAGTGCAACAAAGAGCAGGCACTTTAGATATTTACCGAAATGAATTTAGCAACATCAAGCTCACTCCAAAAATGAAGACTGATAACACTAATAAGTTCTAGGTCAGGGGTTTGTGCATGCAGTTTGCTTTTTGGCTTGTTTCCATGGAAGATGATAGTTCTGAACGCAAGTTATCATTCTGAAGAGATTTCTCTCATCTGAACCAGAAGAAGAGTATTTCCCACTGCACAGCCTTTCCATCGGTGATCAACTGTGCCAACCCCATAAACAGGTAACAGCAGTATCCCCTCAGGGGCTGCTGCACGAGACTTAGCCCAGGACCCGCTGAGATGCTCCTGTCATAAAGAAGCTCTCAAATGTCACAAGTAGCAACCAGCTTTCTGTCAATTCTGCAAGTACAGTGTCAGTACTCACCTGATTAAAGTAACAATGCAGAAGACAAGCATTCAGATAAGAAGCTGACTGGACCAGTTTGAAAAATCGCACAAAATTGTTACTGTTCAACGCAGCAAAAGCCTGAACAGCGAATTTCACCTCAGAGGAGTTTCTAACGGCAGGATGGAACTGCTGCACTTCTCTGTTAATTAAAGGAGACGAAAGGGGTTAGAATTTGACCTTTAATTAGACAAAATTTCCATGAAAATAGATCTGACAATAAAACAGATTTCAACTATACTGAAAAAGAAGGTCTTGATATGGTCACATGTGCCAATATGTTCATGGTTTACCAATGTCAAAGCCACCACTCAGGCTGGATTGGTAACAAAGATTTTCTTTAAAAAGATGATGAGGGACTTCCCTGGTGGCGCAGTGCCAAGAATCCACCTGCCAACGCAGGGGACACGGGTTTAAGCCCTGGTCCAGGAAGATCCCACATGCCACGGAGCAACTAAGCCCATGCGCTACAACTATTGAGCCTGTGCTCTAGAGCCCGTGAGCCACAACTACTGAAGCCTGCGCACCTAGAGCCCGTGCTCCACAACAAGAGGAGCCACCGCAGTGAGAAGCCTGTGCACCGCAACGGAGAGTAGTCCCCACTCGCCGCAACTAGAGGAAGCCCGCGCGCAGCAACAAAGACCCAACGCAGCCAAAAATAAATTAATTAATTAATTTTAAAAAGATGATGAATAGTAAAGTAAACAAATTGAAGCAATAATTTAAGAATTGATTATCAAAGAGTTACTTTAATGCCAACTGACTGCCAGCTGTGTGTTTGAAGATGACGCCTAAGAAAGTTTAACTTTGTTTTGTTTGTAAATAAACGGATTTGGGGACTTCCCTGATGGTCCAGTGGTTAGGAGTCCGCGCTCTCTCTGCTGAGGGCCCAGGTTCCATCCCTGGTTGGGGAACTAAGATCCCACAAGCTGTGCAGTGTGGCCGAAAAAAAACAATTATTAATTATTCAAGAATTACTCAAGGTAGGGGACAAATGCCTATCATATACGAAAAGACTACACAGCCATTTTCCCTAGTTTATCTCCAAGGCTTAATTTAAAATCAGTCACACACATACACATTCTGCAAGCTGACAGAGTTTCAGCATAAAGAAGGGAAACTGGGGACCCAGTTTACCAGTGACAGGAACGGAAGGCTAGTGGACTCTAACATATTTCTCATAAAAATGTCTCCAGATAGATCAGGCCAAGGTTTAAGATTCATTCTTAATATCCCACCCTTAGCATTTGTTTCACACGACTTTTTCCTCTCCTGTGACTTAGACCTTTTTTTTTCTTTTTTTTGCGGTACGCGGGCCTCTCACTGTTGTGGCCTCTCCCGTTGCGGAGCACAGGCTCCGGACGCGCAGGCTCAGCGGCCATGGCTCACGGGCCCAGCCGCTCCGCGGCATGTGGGATCTTCCCAGACCAGGGCACGAACCTGCATCCCCTGCATCGGCAGGCAGACTCTCAACCACTGCGCCACCAGGGAAGCCCTGTGACTTAGACGTTTGACGAGGTCTGTGTGCACACGTACACGAGGCAACACGCTGGCAGCTCTGATAGGGGACCCTGAGCTTTCCTGTCCTAGTTCACTCGCCTTTTCTGCTCATACAGCAGATTCCTTCCTCGTGCTCTCCCACTGACAAGGAGAACCTGTCCTCAGAAAGGACCTGGGGCCCACTCTGGATGCACTGGTGCCAGCAGGCAACCCCAGCCTTCTGCTCCCAGTGGCTCAGCTCCAGGGACTGCACAGCCGAGCCCAGCTTTCTCACTAACGTCCCAGCGTTCGACACCAGAGAAAACTCAGTGCTCCCAGCACCACTAATCCTAAGTGCTCTCTCCCTGGTTAAGCTCTGCCTTTCCCTATGGCTTAGGCTGGCTTCTGAACTGGGAAGTTCACCTTAGGATGTCCCCCTTGTTGAGATTGAGCAGAACGTTGTAGCCCTGGAACTCCGCTTCACTGGCACAGAACACGCCCTTGTTTCTCAGGTCTTGGTACATCTCCTTCAGACTCTGAAGGCACTTGGTCATGTTCTCATTGTTGATCTTGGCATCAAAGGAGGACATGGGCTCCTCACACATGAAGTGAGCACAGTGGATGTGAAACCGGGTGCACTTCTCAATCAGAGACACCGTCACTGGGTCACACAGGTGCTGCTGAGTGATGTCCTGGACACGGGTGAGGCGCAAGATTACACGTGCACACGCGCTGTATGCACACACGCACACACCTTACATACACGTTTCTCGTATACACATAGATCTCATTAACATATTCCCATACATAAGAATCAACTATTAGAAAAAGCATGCTTATTACCTGAATTTCTCAGATTTCAATTTGAAACAAAGCCCATGAAGTACATTTTAACAGGACTTTGTAATGATTTTAAGTAACAGTATTTTTTGTCACGGATGAAATGTAACTGAGTAAAATGACAAGAACTCTCACTTTCACTCTGGACTTCACAAGTGGCTGATACCTTCCGTATGCCCCGCGTGCGGTTCCACACGAAGTCGTACCAGTCCCGCAGGCTGCCCTCCTTCTGGTCCATGATCTGGGTCACCAGGTAGTCCATGGTCCTGCTAAGCACCGCCGAGGGACGCAGCTCATGCGGCAGGGGCTCCTCCTGGTCTGCTGAGGAGCGGCTGTACTCCTTCACGGCTGCCGCGTGGTCCACCTGAGGGCAGGGAATAGAGACGAGCAGCTGGGTGGCAGGTGCTAGGCCGGCCTCCCAGCTGCTGTGCCCGAAAACGGGGAAAATCACACACACACGCTTAAATAAGGTCAATACTACAGAATACAATTTTAAAACGTAAAATTTCTCTTTGAAGGTAACAATTAAAATTCAACGACAAAATAGAGAAACTTGTTTTTGGCAAACATGACAAGAAGTGAAGATAAGAGGCTATCACATCAACACACAGAGGAATTTTAGTGAAGACACACCTGCTTGGCTCCAAGCACAGAGGTGTGACAGGTAAAGGACGTTAAAGATTCTAAAAGATCTCAGCCACGCTCAAGCACCAGATTAAGTCTACACGGACCAGAAATGGAGCCGGCAGTGCGGAGGGCGAGGTGAGGCAGGGGAGCAGCAGGGCCTGGGGAAGGCCCTCGAGAGTCTGGAGCTGCATCTTCCACCTGCAAGAAGAGGCTGAAGAGGTGCGGCTGAGGGTGGAGCAGAGACGCCCAGAAGCCCATGCCCTGGGCACCGGCTGTGAGCTGTCATCACCGTCTCCTGGGGCAGGAGCGCTGGGCCTTTGCCTTGACAGCTGCTGCCTAGCTGGGGACCCTGAGTCAGGCGGAGGCAGCTGTGTGAAACCACCGGCCAGGAAAGGAGCAGAAGCCCGCAAGCAAAATTAACAGCAAAAGAATCTAAAATGGTGCAGATTTCTGGGGAAACAATTGGGAACGTGCACTGACACATATTCAGGAACCTTAAGAAAGGTCACACATCTGATACAGCACTTCATGCGCAGGATCCATCAGAAGGAAGGAAGCTGAATACCTTAGAGGCATTACACACAGTATGCCCAACAGAATTCTTAATAACGCTGAAAAATCAGAAACAGCCTAATGATTGCAAAATGGGGAGTTTGGACAGAGCTACATAATCAAATAATATGCCTACATTCAAAGTTTTGAATGCTTACTAAGACTTTACCATAACAAAAGAAAATGCTCCTATAAAATGTTAAGTGAAAAAGATTCATACAAAATCATACCTAGAGCATCATCTCAAAAGCACAAAATATAAGCATAAAAAAGGACAGGAATAAAACTGTGAAAAGAAAAAATGGGAAAATTTTTTTTTAATTTATGAAACAAATCTGTGTCTATTTGTTTAGGGAACCATATGGTCCAGTCACCTTATGCAAGACTGCTTCCTACACACCTCACAATGCAGACAATGGAACACGACTGTTCATAGCACATCCCCACTGCCCTCTAGAAAAGTAAACACCAGACCAAATTTGGACAGAAAGGACCAGTGCAGCCTTCCCTCCCCTGCACACGCCCCTCCACCCCAGTGATTAGTACGGCCAGCAGCCTGGCGAGCACCCTGGGGGCGTGGCGCTCTACCTGGTCAGTGCCTGGGACCACTTCAAACACACTAAGCTGGCTCCGGGTCTCCCGCATGTATCGCTCCTTCTCGGGACACATATCCGGGCACGTCCCAACAAAAGTCCTCGCTTTGTCCAAGTCGGTCCTTTTCACCCGAGCTGAAGGCACCAAGTAAAAAGTAAGAATGCACCACACAGTTACTAGAAAGTCAGAGAAGTGCACTTTCATAATGATAAAAGGAGAAATAAAAATAAACATCAAACCACAAAGGAAAAGAAAGAAATTTTAAAAACACTGGGCCTTAGAGAAAGGAAAGCACAGCCTACCACACCAGGTGACAGGCCATCAAGGCCCATGAAGACCCTCCAGGGTTTCTCCCCTCTCCAGATGGGTCTCCAACAATCGCAGACCTTCAGGGCACTCTTGGGGGCGGGGTAGGGGGGGGGTGTGGGCACACACGTGGGTGTTTATGGCTCTTATAATGACCTCAATGACACACAATCATGCTACTGTATTTTTGTTAAAAGGATCAATTTGTTAAATGAAAATATTCAAAATTTGCCAGTATTCTAAAACTCTCAGTATTTCATCATGTTTTTAGTATAACAGGAATCACATAATGGAAGTTAGCTGGGTCCTGACCTAAATAAACCACTATGATGACCCACAGAATTAAATAGTTAACAAAAGTATCTTTTAAATGAAATGGAATGCAACAACCTAAAATTTAAAACATTCACATCTTATTTTTATTATATTTATTTATTTATTTTGCTGTACGCGGGCCTCTCACTGTTGTGGCCTCTCCCGTTGCAGAGCACAGGCTCCGGACGCGCAGGCTCAGCGGCCATGGCTCACGGGCCCAGCCGCTCCGCGGCATGTGGGATCTTCCCGGACCAGGGCACGAACCCGTGTCCCCTGCATCGGCAGGCGGACTCTCAACCACTGCGCCACCAGGGAAGCCCTCTTATTTTTATTTTTAAAAAGTCCAATATCTAGTAATAATTTTTTTTTTTTGCAATACAAAAATCACATGTTAATGACATAATGTATGATGGCAGGTTTTATTACTGTGTTAAGGAGACACTGTGATTATTCCATTACAGCTTCTCCAGAGAGGAAAATCCTACAGGTTAAACTTACTTTTGAAAAATGTTTGCAAAGAAGGGTACATGCGCTGTTTTATTTTGGGTCACTGCACATATTGCTTAGTGTTAATAGGACACTTGCTTTTTGAGTAGGTTTTAAATACATTTGCGTGGTTCAACGTTCCAAAGGTGCAACGATGTCCAAGATGGGACGCCCCCCTGCCTTGCTCCCATCCTGACCATCAGCGTGAGCGATCCTTTCTCACCTCCATGACTTTTACACACACATAGGCAAGTATGCTTACGTATATACGGACACACACACACTTCCCCCTTTTCTGTACACAACTGGTAGACATTTCCCACGCCTTGCTTTTTCCACTTCACAATAAATACTGATCATTTTTCCATAAAGAAACCCCAGTCTTCTTTCAGGCTATTTAGAATCCCACTGTATGGACAGTTTCCAATCTCTGTCATCACAAACAACCTTGTGAGTGAATCGTACACACGTGGTGGGGTAGTTTGTGGGACGCACTCCTGGAAGTGGAATTCTGGGTCAAAGGCGTGAGGGTCCCCAAGCCTGAAGACACTGCCAACTTGTCTCCCCGGGAGCAGCCTGCCCAAGGATGCAGCGCTGGGGCCCGATGGGGAGATGCCGCCCTAGCGGGTGTGGTTTGCATCTCTCAATCACTCGACGCTGTGTGACGGGCCAAGGGCATCTGCATCTTCCCATTTCTATTTTCCATGTTTAAGAGCCAACTCTTTCTTTTTTTCGGCCACACCGAGCAGCTTGCGGGATCTTGGTTCCCCGACCAGGGACTGAACCCAGGCCCTCAGCAGTGAAAGCAGCGAGTCCTAACCACTGGACCACCAGGGAAGTCCCAAGAGCTCTTGACACTTCCTTTTCTGAACCTCTCAGACCTTACTCGTCTTTCTACTGGATTTGGTCTTTTTCATACTGACTCTACAGGACTTTCTGTACCTGGGAAATCAGCCCTTTGTCTGTGATGAGCTACAGATTTTTCCCCTGGATTGACATCTTTTATTTGTGTAGTTTTATTTGTGGTGATTTCTGTTAAATAGGAAGTTTTTATTTTTTTAATGTGTGCTTTCTCAATATCTAAAAACTGCCCTTTTAAATTATTTAATCTAGCGTGGATCAATGGTTTGTTGCCTTTCTTCCGAAAACAAAATTACATTACAAACACATCTGCACTATCTCCATGTCTACATTCACGGCCTCAGGAGACTAGAAAGCAACAGAGATCATACGTGCAGACTCAACGGCAGTGGAGCCCACAGACGGAAGTCACCCCTTCCCTCGTGGCTCCCAAGAAGACCGCCTCAGCCGAGTCGCAGCCCGTACCTTGCCGCATGACTCTGTCCCTCTGGTCAAGCAGGCGGTACTTCTCCTCGGATGTCTCAGCCACAGTACCTATCAGGGCACTGAGAGACGACACACACAGCCCAAGACCCTCGGAGCCCTCGGAGCCCTCGTCAGACGGGTCTCCCTCAAACTGAGGGGGCTTCAGAAGACTCGGCTTCTTCACTGGAGAGCTACAAGGAAGATGACATGCTAAGAGCTGTGTGTCCATCAGGCATTCGGGTCATTTCCACATCCGAACACTTCCCTTATCCTCCAAGATACCCTGCGCTCCTCTACAGCTGGGAAGGCCAGCGCTGAAGAGAGGCCGCCTTGACGACACTGGCGATGACGTGAAGGCATTACCCATACTGCGCATAATTCGTGTTCTTCAAAAGTGAGATGCGCCCATTTAAACAGTTGAAATGAATTATCTGTCGACTTCTATCTCAAAGAAATGAAACTAACAGTGGAATAAAAGAACGTTTTAACGCCATGAGAAAATACCATGCCTACACGTTTTCATACACAGCTCCCCTTCAGTAGAAGGATGTACTAAAAAGAACCGGGCATTCTCTGTCAGCTTCCCCATGTTCTAGCTGGCTTTCAACATTCCATGAACTTGAATGTCAAAGAAGATGTAAGGAAAGGAAAAAACAAAAGCAAATCCGCAACTAAACTGGTGACTGCAAAACGTGAGGAAAACTATGCATTGACCAAAATATGTGAAGGATTGAACAGAAGCAGGCCTGATGTGAAAGGAAGGTGAGGTCACACGGGAGTCTGAGGCCAGGAGCCAAGGGGAGGGAGGGAGGGAGGAGCCTTCGGGAACAGAGATTCCACACACACGGGGAGGTCTCTGAAGTGCACACCGAGTGCCAGACCTGGCCTGAGAGCTGCACACGGCTGCACAGTTACAACAATTGCTAGAAGCGATTATTAGGAACACGTGGTTTACAGCCAATTAGACGTTTTAAGGGGAAAAGTGATTACCTATACACGTATACGTCAGACGGGCTGACGACAGCAACTGCCTGGGCTGTGGGACTGAGGGAGGTGAGGCGCCCGGGCCTTTTCAGGGCCGCCTCCCTCTTCCCCTTCTGCAGGCCATCTTCCCACCCTTCAGCCCCTCCTTAGGTGTCAGCATATCACCCGCTTCCCTTTCACGTTGTCATGATGGCTATGAAATCCCTCCTGTTTAGTGACAGTAGAAGTCACAGAACCCACTTGTCCCGTAAAACAGGCATTCGGAAGGATCAGCCGCACCTTTTATTCAGGCTGCCGGCTGCAGCCCTGGCCACGGGCTTGCCAAGAGGGGAGTGCTGAAAGGGTGTGTCCTCGGTGCCCGGGCCAGCTTCACCGTCACCTGGCTGCTTCTCCTTGAGGGAAAAGGGTTTCTTGTTGGGACCTGAGGACACAAGAGTCAGAACAGAGTTTATGATATCACAAGTCACTCGACACTGGACTTTACTTTTTCTTGAAAAAGTAATATTGTAATTGTGACAGGATGTTACAAAGGATCCCAAGGAAATATTACAAGGCAGCCCCACCCCCCCCCCCCCCCACTCAAAGCTCGAAGGCCTTGCACACAAAGCAGCAGAGACTGTGCAAAGATCAACTAAAAACTCACTTGTTTTTTTCTTGTGCCAGAAGATGGCCATATCCTTATGCAAACCTTTCCCCTTCTTCCTAGCCAGGGCTGCAGATGCCTGGAAAACAGTCCACAACACAAAGTACAAGGACATCAGGAGGCCAAAGGAAATGAAGCTCTCAAATGCAATTAGCAGAATTCTATGCAGCGGAGCTACACCTCTGCCAGCCACATGTTCTGACCACACCATCTGCCTTCAGCCCCGGCAGCCACAGCCCTCACCTACCTTGCCTGTCTCACAAGCATGTATTTGCCCTTCTCCTTTTTGAAATTAATCACTTTACCATGATAGAACCCATAAACTTGGCCTTACTGGCATTTGGTGAGATGAGTCTCACCAGCTGACTTACTATACGGGAACAGAAAGACTGCCAAGTCACTTAAACCCAAAAGGAAGCTGCAGAATGACACCCACGGGGTGCAATTTATCATAAAATATACATACACAAAACCAACTATATGTTAGTATACCTATAGATGTACCTATGAAAATGTTTAGGAAAACACTCACCACGCTAGATTACTGGTGCTTGCTCTAACGGGAGAGATGGGGGTGATGAAGGACCCAAACTTTCCATTATCAATGAACTGCTTACAATGACAATGTATTTATATATTTTATTTTTTACGTATTTTTTTAGGGTTCAGCTGGAAGAAAAAGCACATTGCAATAGCTAGAAAATAACTTTAAAAAAATGAGGATTGCTGTACGACCCAGCAATTCCACTCCTAAGTATATACCCAACAGAATTGAAAGCAGGGTCTTGAAGAGATATTTGCACACCATATTCATGGAGGCATTATTCGCAATACACAAAAGATGGAAACAACCCACGTCCGTGGACAGATGAATAGATAAACAAAATGTGGTAACACCCATACAATGGAATAAAAGAATGAAATACAACCACATGAATGAACCTTGAAGACATTATGCTAAGTGAAATAAGCCAGACACAAAAGGACAAATATTGCATGATTCCACTTATCTGAAGTATCTAGAACAGGCAAATTCATAGAGCTAGAAAGTAGATGAGAGGTCACCAGGGGCTGGGAGAAGGAAGGAATGGGGAGTTACTGCTTAATGGTTACAGAGTTTCTGTTTCAGAGGATGAAAAAGTTCTGGAACTAGACAATGTAATGGCTGTATAACACTGTGAACATAATTAATGCTGCTAAATTGAAAAAAAAAATCAACAGAAGGGAATAAATGGCAACCCCCCTAAAACTGCACACTTTTTTGGCACAGAACTTCCACTCTCAGGAATTTAAACAAAGGATATATTCTGAAACATATGCACAAAAATGTCCACAAACAGAAAGTTAGCCAAGTAGGTAAACAGGATAGAATGCCATGTAGCACTTAACAACCCCATTCTCATTTACACTGTTCATGGATTTCAGAAGCTACTAAAGATTACCACGTGAAGAGCTTACCAAACAGTATATGTGGTTGTGACCCCATGTGCGTAAAAACAACGTGACTATGTATTTACAAAGACGTCTACCATGATCTTCATAGTTGATATCTTAGAGGATAGAACTATGGGTGATTTTGTGCCCCCTGCCACAGGACTTTCTGGGTTTTCTCCCTATGTTGACAGGTAATACTTCTATCATTTAAAAAAGTATGAAAACATGCTTTGTAAATTTTTATAGAACATAATTTTTCCCCACAAGAATATTCAGAAAAAATAACAAGATATATAAAGCTACATAGCGTGAGCAGCTCATGTAAGTGTGCGCCCTACAACCAATGTGTTATGCGCGTATGTGCACACACACAAATTTAAAGTCAAGGTATATAAGCGATTAACAGCAGTTCTCCAAGGATGGGATTACAAGAAGATTTTACCTTTTCTGCATTGCTCTGAACGTTTACAGTGATCATGTACTATAACCACATAAAACAAAATCAAAAACACAACAAGAAAACTCAAGCCTGAAAAAGTGCTATGTGGTTACAGGGACACTCCCACGTGACCTCGCGGGAATCATTCGCCCAGCATTTCTGAACACCGCACTCAGTGGGGACTGCAAGCTTCTCACAAATGACTCTAACTTATGAAATAGATAATGCTATTCCAATCTCTCTAAGTTAAGACATTAGAGTACTTTTCTAAATTCTAGCAAGCAAATAACTGATAGATTTTAAAAAACAGGTTTTAAAGTGACAAAGTTCACTTTAACTTTGTCGGAGTACTCACATGATCAAAAAAATACACCACTGCAAGCTTTTTGCTGCGCCTGGTATAGATGCGCTGCACTTTAGCAATTTTGCCAAAGTGGTTCTCCAGAGTGGTTCTGTCATTGAGATAGTCAGGGATGTTCTTGCACTGGATCGCTGTGACTTCAGCAGGAGACAAGCCCCCAAGACCGTCTGTGCTCTCACTTCTTTTACTCTGACGGCCAGGAGTTCCTCTTAGAGAATCTAGGGGATCAGAGAACGGGGACAGAAATGTATCAGATGCAATGTTTTCAAACAATAGGAGGCATCAACCAGGTAAATGCAAAGGAAATTTTCATGGATGTAAGACCTGCTCTGAGATCCTATGGTATGTTAGGATCCCTAATGTTTACAGGGGGTTTACTACGAAATTCAAACTAACATCCAGGGAAATTTACCAAGAACTTGCCAGCAGAATTTACCGTACTTTGTACATGTTTAGAACACACCTTCTTTTTTATCTCTACTTTCAGTTTCTTCCTCTTTATTCACACCTGGAAGCCGGGAAGGTGCCAGGACAGACTGACTGCCTCCTGGGACGGCCAAGTGGTCATTTTCCCCAGACTCGGCACAGCCAGTTTCCTTTTTAGATTCCTTGTTGCCCAGACGACCTACTTCTTTATTGCTTTTGAAGACATCCTGTATTGTCCGACCAAACAAAGTGCCTCCCCGGGGTCGATTCAAGCGGACGGGTCGTTTATCTGGAGGATGATCGCCCCTCAGCAGAGGGTCCAAATCTTCTGCTGCATCATGACCGTGCCTCCTGGGGGACCGGTCCTGGTCCTCCTTCCTTTTCAGTCCTTTCATGAGGCTGGGAAGTGGCTCCATTTGGGAAACAGCTTCTTCGCATCCTTGTCTGACACCTGTTTTGCTAACTGGGAAGGGTTCACCCAAGGACCCTGAAGAAGATATGGGGAAGCTAATAAAGCCACTATTAGAACTTCCAAATAGTGCTTTTGGGCCTCTCTTCTCTTCCTCCACAGTTTGACTTGACAAAGCAGAAGTAAAGGCAGATGATGATGAATTATTATTACCTGGTTTTGAAAAGGTAAAATTTGAATTGGTGGCTGAACTACTCGTCACCTGAGAAAAACAAAATGGGGCCAGTCCCCCATGTCCACTACTGACTGGGTGGGAAAATGTAAAAAGTCCGGAAGTAATTTGGTTCTGAGTTTTCGCTGGCTCGGATTCAGCCCCCAATATTGGTCTGAACATTGAATTCTCCAGAGGTTTAAAGCTAAATTCTGTTTTCCCAAAACCAGAGCTTGCTATTTCTCCAGTCTCTGGTCCAAAAGTAGAAGTACTTGGGAATGCTCCAAGGTTGGGTGATTTAAAACTAAATCCTGGGTTTCCAGGCACAGATGAACTTGAAGACCCAGAGGTAGCTACAAAGGGCGGAATGTGTTCAAGTCCAGAAAAGAGTCCAACATTTGAGGTTTGGGAGAATCCTAATGTTTGCACTGAAGAAGAAGGACTTTGTCCAGAAGATGCTGGAAAGCTGGACACCTGTGAAAATCCTGGGCTCTTCCCGGATAATGTATTGTTTTGTCCAAAAAGAGAGGGCTGACCAAACCGAAATGGTGGCTTAGCTTGAAACGTCCCTATGGAACCACTGGAAGATGGTGGAAAAGCACTAGGCTGCTGCCCACTGAAAGGATTAGCTGGATTCATCTTCTGATCCAATTACTGGCAGGTAATAAATACGCGCAGAAAAGTAGATCCGCAAACGATCTGTTCAGCTAGGGAGCCCCCCCCTCATCTTCACAATACGCTGAAAGACAAAAATTCAGACCATCACAGCTATGTAGTGCTGGAAGACTAAGAAAAGAATTTTTAATCACATGTCAGGTAAAGCAAAGGGCTAAGTATTCTTATTTTCTGAGAGCCAACTGGTGGGGTTGTTGTGTTTTGTTTTGGTTTGGTTTTGAGTGCGGGGTAGAAGTTGGTACAAATAAATTACTTTGTTACGGAGCTTTAAAGCATGATCGTCTAAAAACAAAAATTCAAAACATTTTACTGAATCGGTAAATTCACGGTAAAACCTCAAATAATAATATGAAAATACATGCCGTTACTCTTTTCAACTTAAAGACAGGAGGTTTCTGATGTCTTTCAATCTCGACAGCCAGAGAATTAGAATGCAACACTGTTAAAACATTAGTGTTTCAGTGTTTCCTCCCGTCTAATTTTTCTCCGAGTAACCAGAGCTCCAAATACTCTTTCCAGACAAAGAAATAATTTGCGTTTTTACACGCGGGCGATTACCCCCAGGAGCTAGCTTGAAGAACAAGAGTGCTCACGCAGAGGCTGCCCCACCCCAGACCGCCGAGGGACAGGGGCACCGGTGCAGCGCAAGCCAAACCTCGGGCGGCGCGGTGGGTGGCCCCGCACCCGCTGTGTTCCCCCCCGCGCCCCCAGTGACCTCCCGGCGCCCCTGGCCCCGCGCCCCTGCCCCCCCCTCCGTTAGCGACACGGGCGCGGCGGCGGGAAAGGGGGAGACCTCCGCCCGCCCAGGCCCCGCGCCGCGCTCAACATCCGGCTCAGGGACGCCGCCGCCCGCCGTCCCACGGCCCCTTGGCGCCGGGCAGGAGCCGCCCGCAAGGACCGCGACAGCCAGAGACTCACCGTTTCACTGCGCGCAGCGAGCAGAAAGCTACGCGGCCCCACTTCCGGTCCGTCCCGCGCCTGGGCCCCGACGCGCCCGGATTCCGCTTTCTGGCCGGGCGGCGGCGGCGGAGCTTCTGGTACGCGGCGTCCAGGCCCGGGCCCGCCGGCTTCCGCCCGGTAAGTTCCTCCTCCCCAAAGAGCGGCGGCGGGCGTTCCCCGCGGGCGGCCCGGAGCCGACGAGGCGCTCTCCGCCCCGCCCCCCCGTGCACTCCTTCACCGTTGGGCCCTTCCTCCCCGCTGCCCCGGTTTCCTAGTGGCTGTTGACGTCTGTCTGGCGCGCCTGCCTCCACAGCGTGTACACGTCCTTCCGAGTTATGGCTTCCTTATGGTGAAAGGCACATTCCATGACGTTTTTCAACGAATTCCGCCAAACAAGATGAATTGAGTGTGTGCGCGCGGGTGTTTCTGCAGAATTTAGGATGGCTTTCTGATTCGTCTGCCTCTTACAGGGCGCAGTGGCTCCGGCCGCGATGAGCTTGGTTGTGAGGAACCTGCAGCGGGCGGTGCCCCTGAGGCGGGCGCGGCTCCGCGAGAAGGTGCAGGCGGTGCGGAGAGCCCTGGGGGTGCAGAGGTTCGACCTGGGGGTCGTCTGTGTCGACAACAGAAAGATTCAGCAGATTAATAGAATCTACAGAGACAAAAATACCCCAACAGATGTGCTTTCCTTTCCATTTTACGAGGTAAAAGCTGTTTTCCTGTTCCTGTCGGGCCTACCTTCCTCTGTAAATCCCTGTTAATTATACCACAGACACGATTTTAAGTTTTACTTTGAAAAATTTCAAATACACACAAAATGAGAGAGTACCGTGTGACCATCCCCTATTGATCAGATCCTATCGCTGGAGGAGGGGAGGTGATTGCCCCCCTGACCCCACGTTCTGTATCAGTGAATTAGAGAGAAAGTGCTTCTGCAGTTTTAAGTGTGACTCAATAATGCGTAGGTATAGACTGAAAACTTTTAAATAACTCTGAGAGTAAAAGGACAGAATTGGGTGACTATCTTAAACAAATCCGTGATATCAGGTCACTACCTATGTTATGTGAATGATCGATTCGAGGCTCCCCACACTGTTCGTAACAGCATAAACTGAGGCAGCCCTTTCGGAAGGCAATCTGGCAGTTTTCCTGAAGTAAATCTTCATTACTGTTTAATCCACTAGTGTCACACCTAAGGAAATAAATGGAAAGAAAATAAAATGTTCAATGTGTAACATAAAAATGTATTGAAGTATCTGCTTATCGTCTTCCCTGATAGGAAGTAAAAATATTAACACCCTAAATATCAAGCCATAGGTGACTGGCTTAGTGTGAACAGGCCTCAACTGAATGCACTGGTCTTTATGGTCTTTTTGTGGGAAAATGAGAAAGATTATTTGTTTAGGACAAAACAACAACTGGAAAAAACAGAAATGTAAGCTTGTATCGATGTGGTGATTTAGCTCCATAGAAGTTAGGCAGCTGGGTGGTTGTGCCTTAGGAAGGATGAGAGAAATGGAAGGTTCATTTGACAGGGTGGGAACATCTTCAGTCAGTCGTGTGCAGTGTCTCTGCCACAGTTCCCAACTTGTCTGCCTTGGGACTAGCGGCACAGGGTCTTTCGGGGTGAAATCTGTAGGCCTGTGGTCGGTTAGTGTTGTGAGGTCGAGTTCTCCAAATGTGCGTTTCCTCATTTTCAGAACCTGAAAGCAGGGGACATTCCGCAGCCTGAGTTTCCAGACGACTATAATTTAGGAGACATCTTCCTGGGAGTGGAGTATATCTTCCAGCACTGCAAAGAGAATGAAGATTACTATGACATCCTGACTGTAAGTGCTGAAATGACAGATCCTGATTGGCAAAGCAAAGGCTGATGTCCTCCATCCAGGCCATGAGAAGAGGTGGAGGCGACACGGGCATACACACCACCGTCCTCATGTAGGACAGAGGTTACTGGGGGAGACCCACAGGCAGGGGCAGCGCCCTCTCACCATCCCTCAGAGAGGAGAGCCTGGGCCGTGGGGTCTACGTGCCCCATGGCACCGCTGGGTGAGGGGAGAGGACAGGGCGCATCTATGTGGATAACTGAAGGGGGAGCCCCAAAAGCGGCCTTGTTCTTAGCTTCACCTCTGGAGATCAGCAGGCTGTGCTGAGCCAGCTCGGACCTGCTGCGCGAGCTTCTTACTGAACTTTCCAAAGCAGGCAGGATTCTGGCCTCCAGGACCTTCAGGTCTGTCTCCTCAGCTTGATGCCACGAAGGGTGGTGGGAGTGTTCTGGAAAGTGGTGTGTGATTGAGTCGTGTTTTAACGTTCCTGTGGGTTCAATTGAGGTGTTTTCCTTTGGCCGAACAGCCACACCCTGAATTACCATCTTTGGGGAGCCTAGTGCTTCCGAGGCTTGAAGCAGAGCTTAGAGCTTCCCAGCGAGACGCCCTGTGCTCAGGCGTCAGGGTGCTGCCAGGAGGAGGGTGTGCTTTCTCCCTGGGAGTTGGGGCAACTGCAGCATAGACAGGACTAGTCAGCACAGGTCTCAGCTCTGGGATCTCTGTGGCCAGCAGCTGTGCACCCCTGGGGGCTCTGGGCTGGGGGGCAGTTGTGGACCTCTTCCACTCCCCCACACCTCCTGAGGATTCTCTTGCCCCCAGCGGAGGGCCAGCCCACACTCCTAGGGCCCTCATCCCCCGGCACAGGGCCAGGCCAAGCCACTGTCCTCCCAGCTGGTGCCCAGGTGCACGTTGGCACCTTCTAACAGCCCGGGGTACCTTCCCCCTTCCCCTGCCCTGGTCCTCCGTGTCTCCACAGCTACCCACCCGTCTGCCCCTTCCCCACCCCAGAGGAGGTCCTGATCTCCACATCCTGCCACGGGCCAGGCCTACTGCCGCTCCCCAGACCCCACCCCTGTGACCTCACCACCTGCCCACAGCCCTGCCTGGGCCTGGAGGAAGCTTCCTAACCTCCCACCAGGCATCCACTGAGCTCTCCCTGACTTCCTGCCCCTACTCCCTGGCTCATGGCTTGGTCCTGACCGCCCCCTGAGGCAGCTTCTTAATTGTTCTGACAGGTGACTGCCACCCACGGGCTCTGTCACCTGCTGGGCTTCACACACAGCACGGAGGCCGAGTGGCAGAAGGTAGGAGCCATCCCCTGTCCCCAGCACACACACAGGGGGCATTGCAGCCTGAGGCCCCAGGAGCCGGGGCTGCACCACCTGCCCCTTGCAGTCAAGTATGAAAACCAAATGGAGAAGCGCAGTGAAATAAGGAACTTATAATGCCTGCTTTATAAAAAAGACAGTGTTTGTCTTAAATATTGGACGCTCTAAATGCTGTTAACTGCATTGTTTATTCACTGTTGAAAGAAAGGTCTGAGGAGAGACACTACATTCCATAAATTCTATAAAATTCAAATGGCTTAAAGTTAAAAACCTTTACAAGAGACAGTGTGATGGTATTTGTCAATGGAAACGGGATCTAGAGCGTGCGGGTGTCTGATCCAGACCTGTTAGGTAAAGTTCTGTTTCCTGGAAGGCTGCCAGTGTTTACTCTGTCTGTGAAGGTCTGTGTTGGTAGATGCACTGTATTGTGTTGTATTAACTCGAATTACATTTGTAATCAGATGGGTTCCCTGAACAGCATAGAAGAAAAGCATTTTTTCCTTAACGAGGTAGTCTCCGGGCAGTGGGCCTCTCCCCGGCCTTCCTAGGCTGCTGGGTCCACACGGGCCACACCCTGGCTCCCCCCCACCCCCACCCCACCCCCGCCCAGCCCTGCTGTGGCCGCCTGGCTCCCCTGCTCAGCCCCACTGCTTCCCACACACAGGCAGCATCTCAGGAAAGCCTCCAGCGGGCTTCCCACCAGCCTGCCCTTTCCCTGGGGGGCCGTCCTCACCCCCGCTCCCGTGCTTTCAGGGCCGGGCCACCCAGTCTGGCCCCTTCTCCTGCGACCCAGGCAGGCGCTCCTCTTCATGCATAGACCACCGCCCCAGCACCTGTTCCCAGCCCCCTGCTGGGGGCAGCACGTCGGTGCTCCCTGTGCACTGGGACCGCGGCCTGCCTTGGGCTGTGTGGGAGGCCCCGGGCCTCGGGGAGGGAACCCCAGGGCCCGAGGAGGCCAGGTCTCTGGGCCAATCTGGACCTGTTTCTGCCCCTTTCTTTCAGATGTACCAGAAGGAGAAGCAGGTTCTCGAGGAGCTGAGCAGGTACACAGGGACCAGGCTTCAGCCCCTGAGCAGGGACCTCTTCTGACCGAAGTGCTGCCGTGTGGAGGGAAAGTGGATCCCCCCCGCCCCGGGCCCCCGGGGTCAGGGCTCCCCGCGCGGAGGTCCCTGCTGGCCACTGCTGTCCTGTGGGGCTGCACAAGTGCCAGCCCTAGCAGGCGCTGAATTCCACGAGTGGAATTTGCCTCTTAAAACCCGAGAGAAGGGCTTCCCTGGTGGCGCAGTGGTTGAGAGTCCGCCTGCCGATGCAGGGGACACGGGTTCGTGCCCCGGTCTGGGAGGATCCCACATGCCGCGGAGCGGCTGGGCCCGTGAGCCATGGCCGCTGGGCCTGCGTGTCCGGAGCCTGCGGAGAGAGCCCACAGCAGTGAGAGGCCCGCGTACCACAAAAAACAAAAACAAAAACAAAAAACATGAGAGAAATTTCCACTCATTTCTTTGTTCAGGACACAGTAGGTGTGTTATTTTCAGTGTTGTAAATAAAATAGTTCCAAGTGCTCAGGATGCAGAGGTGGGGCGTGTCGGCCACCTCCTCCCTGGGGCTCTGCCTTTGACAAAGAGGCATCTCCCACGTCTGTATCCCTTCAGGACAAATCAAGCAGCCCAGGTGGGCCTGCCCCCACTTCCTGTTGGAATCCTGCTGGATTCGGTCCCATCCAATTCTCAGGAGCGCTGGGGCCTGGAGCCTTTGCTTGGTGCCTCTGCAAGGTGAGGGACAAGGCTGACCCTCGAGGTGGCTGCAGGGCCAGGCCTACCCACCGCAGGGCACCCTCAGCACGCCTCCTGCCATCACCCACCCCTACCCATCGGTCGCGGTCAGGCAGTTGCTCACAGACTGTGCTTGAGTCCTTTGCCGTGGCCCCGGCATGGCAGAGCTCCGACTGCCATGTCCCATCCTCCTGTAGGAAAGCCTCCCTCCTGTCAGTATATCCTGCCGTGTGAATATGAAAATAAACCCAGGAGTTTACCCCAGAGCTTTATCCAGAGCTGTGCACAAGCTTCGGGCATCACGGGTGGAAGCAGATCTGGAAGGGGTGGGCGCCGAGCCAACCCGGGGCCTGCAAGCACTGACCACAGTGCCACAGACCCTCCAAGGAGCTCTGAACTGGTCATGGCGATAAAACACAGCCTCTCGGGGACCCTGAAACCCCAAGTACTATGATTCTAAGAATTTGGTTTCTCCCATAAATCGATCAGAAACATGAAAACGTGTTTCCCACTGGATTTGTGTCCTGAGCCTGGACTTTCCCTGGCTCTCGGGAACACGGGCCCTGTCATGTTCCTGAATCATTGGCCACGTGACCTATTTGTCGTCAGTTAAGCTCCTTCTCGGTTTAAAGTCTAACATGGCAAAGACCAAAGCTAACCCCACAAAGCTCTCCCCAGGCCTTTTTAAGGGACTGAAGGGGTCCTGAGACCCACTGGTCCTATCAGCGAGTATTTGGAGGTCACCACCTGCCATTGGAGCTGACCCTCCAGAACCTCTGGTCATGTCCGGAACACAGGCAGGTTTTCTCCTGGGCACGGGCCTGAGCAGAATTGCTGGGAGCTGGAGGCGGGAGGTCCAGCTTTATAGCTGATGCCTATGAGTGTTTCCCCAGGGCTGGATGGTTTGTCCCCACCAGCAGCCGTAGTAGTGGCCCCCAGGTCCTGCTACCTGGTGTCAGGTACCGAGCAACCTGCGTGTGCCCTGACCCTCTGCTTGGATGGTGTCCACATGTGCACTGTGGCCATCCTGCATTTCTCTTGTCACCAGTGACCCTCTCCATCGGCATCCCCTCCACCAGAAGGGTGACTGGTCAGGTCTTATTGCCCATTCTCTACTGGTTTTTCTTTTTTCTTATTAATTCTGGGGTGTTTTTATATATGGTTGAAAACATGCCTTGAATTTTAGTACAGAATACGACCTGAATCTGAGAGAAGGCCGCCCCACGGTCTGTCAGCAGCCGTGCCGTCTGCCCACCCCGCCCGGGCACGTGCTGTCACGTCCCAGAGCTTCCTGCAAACCCAGCATTGCCAGAGCAGGGCTCCTGCTCTGGGTGTCGCTGGCATCCCCAGCCCTTTACTGTCCTAAGTGTGTTCTAGATTCAGCTCCCAAGGCCGTGACGCCCTGGAGGTGCTGTGCCAGGTCCGCAGGCCGCTGAGCACGTGCAGCGCCTCTCGCTTCGTGTCCTCGACATCTTGCTGAGGGGGCCCCCGCCAGCAGCCCCGCCAGGGTGCCAGGCATAGCTGGTCAAAGGAAGTTTTCTCCCAACACTTGCCACTAAGTGCCAGGAGCCAGTGCAGCCCCCACAGGCGGAGGGCAGGCCCACAAGACTGCCCCCCACTCTAGCCCAGGGGACCCACTGTCCAGCGCCGCCAGAAGCCAGGGCTTCCCACAGCCCCCGCCTCTGGTTCAGTAATTTGCTAGAATGGCCCACAGAACTCAGGGAGACACGGGTTTCTTACAAGGGACACAGATGGACAGCCAGATGGAGGCGTCCATAGGGTGACATCTGGGGGCTTATGTCCCCGTGGAGCTGGGGTGCACCCCCCAGATGTGTTCACCAGCCTCATCTTCTAGTGGTTTTGTGGAGGCTCTGCTAGGGTGGCGGGGCTTGATTAAATCGCTGGCCTCTGCTGATTGGCTCAGCCTCCAGCCCCTCCCCTCCCTGAGGTTGGGGGCGGGGCCTGAGTTCCAGCCTCTCATCAGGGCTGGCTTCTCCGGCGACGAGGCCCATCTGAAGCTCTCCAGCGCCCGAGTCACCTCGTTAGCACAGTCGCAGGAATCCAAAGGTTTTACGAGCTCTGTGCCAGGAACCAGGACAAAACCAGATGGCCATGTCGTCTTATGCTGCGGTATCACGCCATGCCACCACTGTACTCCCGGCACCCGGGCCCCAGAACCCGCCTCCCTCACTCCCAGGGCCTGCTCAGAGCTCTTCGGCTTCCCCAGGTTGGCATGCCTCGGGGTGCTTTCCCGCCCGGGCCCTCCTCAGCAGTGACCGCCCCTCCTGCAGGCCCCCCAATGGTGGCCTTGCCGGGCTTTTCCCGGCACCGGACTCTCCCGGACTCAGGAACATGTTTCCTTCAACCCGGTTGACCCAGCAACGCCAGGTGTGCGGTCGTAGGAAACATGTATGTTGGTATCTGCCCCTGGCTCCTGACGTGGGGCTCCTCATAAATTCCCAAGTGACAGGAGCACCAGGAGCCCCTTTTGTCCTAATGAGGTGACTCTGGGCGGCTCCTGGGTGGAGGCTGGTCGCCGGGAAGACCGAGCCAGGATGAGAACCTTGGAGCTTACAGCGCCGCCCCACGCCCATTCTCCAGAGTAGGGAGGGGACTAGAGATGGAGGTGCCCGTGGATCAGGCCTGCGTGCAGCCCCCACAGCATAAGGCTCGGGGGGGCCAGGTCGGCAGACACAGCCGCATACCAGGAGGGTGACACACCCCACTCCACGGGGACACAGGTGGCAGCCTGGATTTGTGACTGAGCCCTTAACCCGTGGGATCCGACACCATCTCCCGGTGGGTGGTGTCAGAACTGGACTGTAGGACACCCATGCGGGGGTCACAGAGGACTGCTTGATGTGGGGAAACCCCACACATTTGGTGACGGAAGTGAAATGTTCTGTGTGAAAGTAAAGGACACTCACAGGTGAGAAAGACATAGGAGGGAAGGCGGGGCTTTCCTGACTTGGGAGGTAAACAAAACTGAGTTTTTCCAATTTACCAGACCATCCAAACATGGTGAACTTCTGTCCAATCTCTTCCCTCTATTGAGTTAACAATTACGTTGAGAAATAAAACCAAAGGGAAAAGCCATGTTAGAAAACGTCAAACTGAATGGGAATTCCCTGGTGCCCATTCCCCGCCCCCTGCAGGCCGCGCAGTGCTGGGGGAGAAAGAAAGAAAGAAAACATCAACATGAAAATCAGGAAATCGGCTCAGACGTTTAACTGCACATTTAAGAAGACAGCGGCGTCTGTCGTCTGTGGAGACGAGCTGCACTCAGGCACGCAGGCCCTGGCCCTCTCCTCGCTGGGCAGCTGCACGGGGCCGAGGTCAGCCCAGGGGCGCCTGTGTGCGCCAAAGGGCAATTCCAAGGTCATCTCCCTTCCTCTGACGACCCTTCTGGCAACTGCGAGGGTCTAAAGATGTAAGGCTGGAGCAGGGGTCCTGCTCGAGTGGAACTTGGGGAAAGAGACCATTTATCCCAAAAGGGGCCGATGAAAACACGCGTAATACTTGAAAATGACACTTGCGAGAAAATTATATTAAAGCAGCCAGGAAGCATAATTCCACCAGAGAAAATAAAAGAGGGGCAGAGAGTGGAGTAAAGGTAACTCGTCCCGTGGGGAGAATCCAGCCAGAGGCAGATGGAAGACAGCGCTGCCTCGGCCCAGCCTCCAGTGCTCGGCTTCAGGAGGAGAGGCTACGTGAGTGAACCGGCCTGCAGCTCTGCCCTCACACAGACACACCAGGCACATGTCCTGCGGCTGCTCCCTTGCTGTGAGGAGCCGGGGCCTCTGCCCTGGGCCGCAGGGCACCACGAGTGGCACTCTGCTCGTGGCGTTTCCCCCAGGAAGGTTCAAGGTTCGTGTGGCTACCTCAGTCGACCTTTCCTCTCCTGGCTCCTGAGCCGTGTCTCCTCGTGACCCTCCCCCCCCCGCATCCAGGGCCGCGGCTGCCCACCCCCTGGGGGAGCACGAGGCCCTGCCGCTTACCCGAGCCCGCGGTGGGGTCACAGGCCTGGAGCCTGTGTGGGCAGGACGCCGTCGGACACAGCCCTAGAGGAAGGAGGGTGTCTCTGGATGCAGCTGGCTCACAGACACCACGCCCAGGTGGGTCTCGCCGCCAGGGCTCCGTGGGGGCCCTCACAGCCGGGCTTATGCTGGGCCCTCCCCTGCTGGGCTGGACAAATGACCCAAGCCTCGGGCAGCTCCCCTGGGAGGAGGGCATGGGGTCCACACCCAGCCGTGGCAGCTAGGACTGAGGCTGCCAGGGTTACCTCCCACCCCCGCCACACCCCTCCCTCGGGAGTTGGCAAGGCCTCCCCAGGCTCCTGCTGCAGCTACAGGCCTGACAGAGGGTGAGGAGGGCCGACCCAGGCCCTGGGGTCCTCCCACCCCGCAGGCCCAGGAGGCTGGCCGGGAGCCCAGCCTGGACTTACGTGCCAAGGGCGGCCACTGAGGGATGGGCCACGTGCCACACGGTGGGCAGGAAGCTGGCAGCAGGAGGGAAGGCAGTGGCGGAGACCACCGGGGGCCACGTGGAGTAACCCGCCGGGGAGCCAGGAGTGGGGCTGGCCTGCAGCGGGGCTGGGGGCGCGTAGTGGTGATGGTGGCACACAGAGGGCGGCTTCTGCCTCTTGGCTCGCAGGACGGCGGGGCAAGCCCACTGCGGGTCCTCAGCATGACACACACCAGGGCGTTTCAGCGGGACCCCGGCTGCTCCTGGGCTCCCCTCCCCTCCACGTGGTTCCTGACTCAGGATGGGGTCAGGGTCAGAGCAGCGGTGGGCAGGGGTCCAGGAGGGCAGGAGGGTGGGGGGCAGGCTCCAGCAGAGCTCATCTGGCTCAAGGGGGCCGCTGTCTGGGCCCTGAACTGGGCAACCCGTTCCTCATCTGGGTGGGACTGGGGGGCGCTTGGGAGCTTCAAGCTGGAGCACAGAGCTGGAGCCAGAAATGTGTTTTTCAAAGCTACAGAGGTGCGTGGATTTCCAGAGGAAGAGCCACCAGGTCCTCTGGTCTTGGTTTGGGTGTGTGGCGCCTACCTGTGGGGGGAGGCGCAGGGGGGCGGGCGCGAGTGCTGATGGGGGCAGGGCTCTGAGCATCAGGTTCTGCATGAGGATCTGGTGCATCTGTGCGCTCTGCATCAGCATCATCTCCACCATGTCTGAGGGAGGGCACGGAGGGCTGGGTCACGCACGGCCGGCCGCCGGTGACCGGGCCGCTCCTGGAGCGGAACGCAGGTGAAGCAGACACAGAGCTCTACGAGCAGGCGTGGAGGCCTGTGGGTCTGCGGGTCCCGGGCTGTGTGCTCAGACGCGTCCTTTTGAACCCTACTGACGGTGGAGCCTTCTTGCCACTGGATTCCTCTCGTCCGTCCGCTGGGCTGCGTGGTGGCCCCGACGGTATCCGCATGCTAATCCCCAGGACCTCTGAATGTGGTCTGATTTGGAAAAGGGTCTTTGCAGGTATGATAAGGATCTTGAGATGAAATCAGCCAGGGGAGCCCTAAACCCAAGGCCAGTGTCTTCCTGAGCGAGAGGCAGACGGAGCTCTGAGACAGAAGAGGGGGCAAGACGCAGAGGCGGCGGGCGGAGGCTGGAGGGGCGCCCGGAGCCCCAGGAGGTGGAGGGGCAGGAAGGCCCCTCCCCGGGACCTGCCGCACCTTGAGTTTGGAGTTCAGCCTCCAGACTGGGAGCAGACACAGTCCTGTCATTTTAGGCCACCGGCTTGTGGCGCTTTGTCGCAGCCACCCCAGGAAGCTAATATATTCACCAACTCGGGACACTAGGAAACGCTAATTTTGGTCAGTGTGGGACATAAATGTTGCTTCTTTCCACAGCAGCTAGGCCCTGGAAATTAGGTAGCCCTCCAGGCTCTGTTGGCCTCACCGAAGGAAAGCGAGCCTCTAAGGACCACTCAGACTTGCAGCCAAGCAGATGGGGCCTCCGGGCCTGGGCTGGGGCTCCCGCGCGCGGCGCTTTGGAGCTGGGCTGCAGCAGACGGCCTCCCCCTCAGGCTGCGCTCCCGGACCTCCCTGCAGGTGTGGACTTACCAAGCCTCCACAATCATGCGGGCCAAGTCCTTAAAGCACGTCCTTCTCGCTGTATTACACACCCTGCTGGTTCTGTTTCTCTGCAGAGCCCTGACTGGCACAGATGGCGCAGGGCCAGGGGGCTCTGGGGAAGGGGCCAGAGCCAGACTGCTAGTGCAGAAGCTGAGTCTGGCAGCCCCACAGGGGGCAAAGGCCCTTGAGGAGACCCACGTGGGTCGGGGCTTGGGAAGCCCCGCCCACAGTGAGCCCTCTGAGAGGGAGCCCTCCCCATCCGCCCCGCAGGGCCCCCCCCCCCCAGTAAAATCGCGCATGAAAAGATTAGTCGGCGGATGTGGGGGTAGAGAAGTGGACCCACATCTACAGCCTCACCACCAGGGCACACGTCAGTGCAGTGGGCAAACAGTCTTCAATAAAGGGCAGGGGGTCAAATAAAGGGCAGGGTATACACGGCAAAAATAATAGCATTGATCCCTAATTCACAACACACACAAAAATCCATTGCAGGTGGATCGTACATCTAAATGTGAAAGGCAAACAGAGCCCCAGAAGAAAATACAGAAGAACGTCTTCCTGACCTTGACGGGTAAAGACTTCTTAAACAGGACATAAAAGGTACCAACCATAAAGAGTAAAGCCTGAAAAACTGAACTTCACTAAAATTAAGAACTTCTTTTTATCCAGAGACACACACTATGAAGAGAGTGGAAGGGCCACAAAAAGGACTTGCTGTTTGCAATACATATGTCAAAATGACCCATTTTTAGAATACATAAAGAATTCCTAGAAATCAATAAGAGAGGCAGAAAACCGGAAAGAAAAATGGGCAAAATACTTGAATGGGAACTTCACAAAAAAGCATATTCAAGTGGCCAAAAATATATGAAAAGGTGAAGTGCAAATTAAAACCAGAAGAAGCTACCATGGCCTGCCCACCAGATTGGTGAAAATGAAAAATTCTGAAAACATCAAGTGTTGGTAAGTTGCTGTGGGCAACCGAAATTCTCCTCCCCTCCTGTGGGGTGCACATGGGTCCAGGCACTTTGGAAAACTGTCTGGCAGTATTTCCTAAGCAGCCATCCCATCCCCGGGTGTGTGCCCCACAGACACGAGCACGTCCATTCACCAGAAGGCACGCAGAGAAGCACAGCGGCAACAGCCCAGCTGCGCAGAAACGGAACGCCCAACCCCCCAAATGGGCCCACAGTCTGAGGGACTGAATAGCGTGGTGGCTAAAGAATGGCCCCAGCGATGCCCACATCCTGATCCCAGAACCTGCGAATGTGTTCCGTTACACAGCGAAAGGGACTTGCAGATGTAACGAAGTTAAGAATCTTGAGATGGGATGGAAGCGACCGGAGTCTCCGCCCACGGACGAAGGGATAAGTAAAATGGGGTCCAGCCACACAGTGGGATATTACTCAGCCTTAAAAAGGCAGGATGCTCTGACACAGGCTACAACATGGATGAACCTTGAGGACATTATGCTCGGTGACATAAGCCAGACACACAAAGACAAGTACTGTGTGCTTCCACTCTTATGAGGCATGTAGCCCAATCAAAATCAAGAAGGTGGAACACAGACTGGTGGGCGCAAGGGGCTGGGGGAGGGGGATGGGAAGCTGTTCACTGGGGACAGAGTTTCAGTTTTACACGACGGAAAATTCTAAAGATCTGTTGCACAACAATGTTGAATATAGTTAGCACGACTTAAACATGGTTACGATGGTCAACTTCATGTTACGTGTTTTTTACCACAATTTTTTAAATTAACTTTTGTTAAAAAGGATCTTCAGATAGGGAGATTATCTTGGATTATCCGGGTGGTCCCCATGTTATCACGGGGTCCTTAGAAAGTGTTGGGAGAAAATAACTATCAACCTACACTTGAATATCCAGCAAAACTAGTGTTTAAGAACAAGGGGAAATAAAAAGAAAGTGAACACTAAGGCAGCTTCAAAAGCCTGTCCTGCAGGACCTTGTAAAAGACTTGTTCCCAGATGATAGGAAGGGATTCCAGGAGGACAGTCTGAGATACAATAAAGGGTGAGTTAATTCAAATGTATTTGCTGTATGACGTTATACCAGTGTCTTTTCTGTGAAGTTTTCCAAAAAGGTAGAACTGACATGGAGAGCAGTCGCGGGGAGTGGGGTGGAGTGGAGCTCCAGAAGCCGCGTATCTACTTCATAGGAAGCAGCCCAGCAGTTCTCCAAAGGGGTTGTTGTAGTACATTGGAGAGTCCCTATTTTTACATTCAAATATTTGACCCACTTGGAATTTGTTTTGGTATAATGAGTGGGGTAAGGAACGTGACTTGACTTTTCTGAATAACTAGCTACTTACTGACTGTTTCATTTTTACCAGTGATTTTAAATGCACTTTTTAAAGGCACACAGACACTTGCGCGCACGTGCGCGCGTGTGCGCACACACACACACACACACACACACGCACAGGGTATGCTGGGTTCACCTCTAGAGCCTGACAGTCACTAAAGTTCATCTGGAAAAACCAGGGAGGGTGGTGAGGAGAGACCAGCGGGCTGTCCTCTCTGCACCTCCAGGCCACCTTCCTGTGTGTCACGGTGAGAACGGTCCCCCTGGGGAGCTGCAGGCCGCCATGGACCAGGCCTGACGTGTAGCACGTACACAGTGGTGCTACAGTGCCGGCGACAGAGTTGAGAACACTCATCAGGTGATTCTACACACAAGTCTGCCTCGGACTCTCAATACCTCCCATCGTCAGGAAAACGCAAACTACAACCCCAGCGACCGACTACCACCCCTGCTAACACGGCTGCCCGCACCACGTGCAGGTGAGGGTGTCGAGGAACTGGACCTCTCACACATGGCAGTTTTAAGCACACACCTGCCATGATTCAGCCGTCCCAGTCCTAGATATTTACCCAGGAGAAATAAAAATGTACATCCAGGCTCAGACGTGAGTGTCCATGGAGCTTTTGTGGTGATAACCAAAACTAGAAACGACCCAAGTGTTCATCGACAGGTGAAAGGATAGCAAACCAGTCCATCCTCACAATGTAAGCTCACTGGGCAATTTCAAGGAGCCATGGTTTGCTACGCCCAACAAGAGCGATGAGTCTGAAAACAGTGCCACTGAGTGAAAGAAGCCACACAGGAAAGAGTGCATACTGTGTGATTCCACTCATACAAAAATCTAGGAGACGCAAACTGATGCAGAGTGACGAAGCAGCTAGGACGGCGGGAAAAGGTGCCTGAGGTGATGCCGTGTGTTCACTGCCTTGATTTAGTGATGGGTTCACAGGTGTGTACAGGTGTCAATACTATCAAATTGTACACTTTAACGGTGTGCAATTTATTCTATGTCACCTCAATAGAGCTGTTCTAAAATTCAAGTATTTAAAAGTTACTTAAAGAGAAAAAGCAGTTTAACCAAGGGTTTTTTGAAGCTAATCACTGGATGAGTTGGGCTGGAACACAGTTCTTTCAAATCTGAGTCCAAGCTTCTTCCGTCAGGGATATCTATCAGTAAGGATTTTTCAAAGTGAAATTATTTTCATGTTGGTAAATACATAGCTTCAGTTGAGTAGTCAAAAGCTGGCCCTAAAACACTACCCGGCTTACAAAACTATTTTTTCAGTAGAGAATTGCATAAACCCGTGACAACATTCGTTATGAACACTTACCTTCCTTGACGCTTCCTGACTGCTGAGTGGGGAAGGCCTGGGGAGGGGGGATCTGTGCGATGAGTGGCTGCTGAGGCAGCTGCTGGATGATGGTGGTGGGAGGTGGGGGTGCCTAGAAGAGCCAGACGACCCATTACCTGAATGTGCCCCGGGAATAGTGACCTACAGAACCACCCACCACCCATCCACCCACCATCCACCCATCAATCCATCCATCCAACATCCACCCACTGTCCACCCATCAATCCATCCCCCATCCATCCATCCATCCACCCATCCATCCATCCATTCATCCACCATCCACCCATCAATCCATCCATCCAACATCCACACACCATCCATCCATCCATCCACCATCCATGCCCCCATCCATCCATCCATTCATCCACCCACCATCCACCCATCCATCCATCCCCCCATCCAACCATCCATCCATCCATCCATCCATCCATCCATCCACTATCCATCCACCCACCATTCATCTACCATCCATCCACCCATCCACCCATCCATCCATCCACCATCCATCCATCCATCAATACACCCATCCAGGGGCTTCCCTGGTGGTGCAGTGGTTGAGAATCTGCCTGCCAATGCAGGGGACACGGGTTTGAGCCCTGGTCTGGGAAGATCCCACATGCCACGGAGCAACTAGGCCCGTGAGCCACAACTACTGAGCCTGCGCATCTAGAGCCTGTGCTCCGCAACGAGAGGCCGCGACAGTGAGAGGCCCACGTACTGCAGTGAAAAGCGGCCCCTACTCGCCGCAACTAGAGAAAGCCCTCGCACAGAAACGAAGACCCAACGCAGCCAAAAATAAATAAATAAATTAATTAATTAAATTTTAAAAAAATACACTCATCCATCCACCAGCCATCCATGGGGGACTTTAAATGAGAAACCCTAGAGGTTAAACAGATGCCTGAATAGATAAATATTTGAGTCTGGGTGTCACTTAGGACATGGAATGTTATGGGCTGAATGTTTGTTCCCCCACAAATTCACATGTTGAAGCCCTAACCTCCAAAGTGACTACATTTGGAGATGAGGCCTATGAGGAGGTGATAAAGGGAACGAGGTCGTAAGAGTGGGGCTCTAGTCTGATAGGGCTGGTGTCCTTGTAAGAAGAGAAAGAGACACCAGAAGCTGTCTGCCTCGTGAGGATACAGTGAGAAGGCGGCCACCCACCAGCCAGCAGAGCACGCTCACGAGAACTGCATTGGCTGGCACCTTCATCTGGGACGCCCAGCCTCCAGATGGTGAGAAGGTAAACGTCTGATGTTTAAGTGCCCAGACTGTGCTATTTTGTAGTGGAGCCCAAGCTGAGTAAGACATGGCGTTTTTCATGTTTCCCACGTTTCCTGGATTTAGTGGGCTAAGCTCATCCCTGCTTCCATTGACTCTGCTTTAATAGAGGCATCCAAGGATCTTGGCATGGAAATACCCTCTGGCTTCCCTCCTGAGTTAAAATAAACGCACAAAAATTTGGGGCACACACCAGGCGTTGATTTCTATTTTAATCCCCTGCCCTGTCCCTTCTCTCTCAGTTCACGGAAAGGATGGCATGGACCAGGGTTGGCAAACTTCCTGTAAAGGGCTGGACAGTGTATTGTTCCCGCTTTGTGGCCACATGGCTTTAGTTGTAACTGCTCACATCTGCCTTTGTAGCTGGAAAGCAGCCCCAGACATGTAAGCACTTATGAACCCTGAGATGCGTGTTTCATATCATTTTCATGTGTTACAAACTATCATTCTTCCCCTGATTCTTTCCCAAACATTTAAAAGTGTACCACCCCTCTCAGTTCACAGGTCCTACTGACACAGGTGGCAGCCAGCTTTGGCCTGTAGCCACAGTCGGCCACCCCCCACAGGCCACCCCCCGCCCTGCACAGACCAGCAGGCAGTCACAGCGGTGGTGCTCTCGCGGCAGAGGGGACCTCCTACCCCAGAGTCTCTGGGACATTCATCCTAGCCACCAAGGCCCCTGCCTGCTCTCGTGGTGTCATTGGGGCTGAGACTGAAACACCCAAGCATGACTGGGCCTGAGGAACTGCAGTAAGTATGCGCACGTTGGGACTGGGGGAGCCTCCTGAACCTACACCCTCACCCCACCATTCCTGGGGCAAAGGGGGCTCTGGGGGCTCTGCTGGCACGCCCCTTCCCTCTCTGTTCCCTCCACGTCGGCTGCCAGGTCCCCTCCCAGAGGATAAACGCCCTCCAGGTCATGGACCCAGCCTGTGGGCATCACCAACCTCCCTAGCCAGCCGATCCAGAACCTTCTCAACTTGGCCCCACCCACCTCCTGCCTGGTCTTCTCCTCATGCACTCAACCCCCGAGGCCACAGCCCGCCAGGCCCCAGCTGCCACGCCTCCTTGCTCTGGGCATCCAGCTGCCCCCGATACGATCCCTTTTGCTTAAGAAAGTCAGAGCTGCTTTCCATCGCTTGTAACCCAGGATGCTGAATGCAGGCGTGAGGCTCTCAGAAGTGGAACAGTCTTCCACCTTTTACAATTCTGCCCTGGAGACTAGGGGCTAAGCTTCCCCAGTCATTATGAAGTTTGGGAAAGGAGCTGACACACTTCTTCCCCAAATTCAGGCCCTCCTGATACTGAAACCTCCTAATACTTCTGCTCCTAGTGCAAAGGTTAGGACGTGGGGCGGAGCTGGGACCCCAGCCTCTCACCTGTAATGAGATAAGCACCCCCTACCCCCAGCCAGTTCTCAGGGCACCTGTGAGGCCTGATGACACACATTAGCCCCGACAGAGCCAGACACGGAATGCAGCCACGGCCGCCGCTCAGCCCACGGCCCCTTCCGCGCACTTCCCTGAGGTGCTGAAAGAGGCGAGAGACGGAGGTGTGGAGACACCGCCATCCCTGCTTAGGTGAGAGGTCTCTGGGGGCATGGCACCCTCCCTGCATTGGTTCTGCCCCCCAGATTCACCGCGAGGAAGACTTACTGGGTGTTGGGTGATCTGCGGTGGGTCCGGGGTGGGTGGGGCCGGGGAGACAGCGGGGTGGACACCCACAGGGGGCACCTCTGGGGGCAGCACTGACCCACGGGCTCCTCCGTCCAGCCCCCTCCAGGCGCGGGCCCGGGAGGCCTCTTCCAGGAGGTGCTGTTCCTGTAACGCCAAAGCAGAGCCCGTGCTTGGAGGCAGGGAGCTGTGACAGCCGGAGCGGGCTGGCGTGTCCCAGGCCCTCACCCCGCCTGGCACGACAGCGCCAGCTCACAGGCGTGTGGCCCCCGCAGTGGGGGAGCGGCCCCAGGACCACCTGCTACCCCCGTGCACCAGGCTCCCTCCCACCCCACCCGGGCGCATGATCAGATGGTAGGCCCAGGGCGCAGCTGGGTCAGAGTTGGAGCCAGGCCCTGGAGGCAAAGCCTGAAGGCCCTTGCCTGGTGCACACGGGAGAAATTGACCCCGAACGACTTTTTCCAGCCTATAGAGGATATTCTGTCTCTCCAGCATGCTTCCAGGTCGACTTCACCACAAAGCAGTGAGTTTATCACAACTATCGTTTGGACCCGAACGCACCCCTTCCCATGGTCATTCCCTGCTGCTGGTGCCTCTGGTTTGGACGAAGCCCTGGTCATCTTGGAATCCCACTTCCAGGGGAACCGGACCCTTCACGCGGCACTTCCACCTCTGATCATGTGCAAACAGAGCAGTTTTTTTCAGCTAACAGCCCCCTGTGAGAGCCCAGCCTACAGGTGAGTTCTCCTCTCTCCCTGGAGTCCGTGATCGGGGATGACGCCCCTCAGCTGCTCACGGCCCATCAGCTGTCCGCCCCCAAGTCGCAAACGGCAGAACCAGCACGGGTTCCAGAAGGGCCCCCACCTCCACTGGCCCGTGTTTGCTCTGAGCTCAGGCCGCAGTCTCAGCTGCAGAGAGCTCGGGCCAAGGCTCCCTGTGGCCACGTGGCCTACCCAGAGTCTCTGCAGAAGGTCCTTCCTCATCCTCAGAGCGCTCCGCAGGGCGGCCTCTGGCCCGTCCTCATTTCCTGGAGGGAAGCGCGTGCTTCAGGGCTCAGCACTGCAGACCCCGGCAGCTCCCACTCCGGGACCTGCACGCCTGTCCCAGAGAAGGAGGGAGGTGCCTGGGGACGGAGCTTGGGGGGCTGCCCTGTGGGGATTACGTGGGCAATGGTGGGGGGCATGCGGGGAGCTCAGTCTCTCAGGGGGGTCTATCTTACTCCTGGACAGGAGCCGGAAGTTGCAGAGTGAGGATTTCCCCTGGGGCCCGAGCACCACGTTGCTCCTGCACCTTTGCCGGGAAGTCCCGCGGGCTCCACGGGGCGCGGTGAGAGGAAGGAGGCCCTCACGGGATGGGGCTGAGAGCCCAGCCTCCCATCACCTGGAGCCACCCCGCAGCCCCAAGCTGCCTGGAGGCTGGCGTGTTCCACGGAGCCTCAGGGAACGGTTCCTGCAGCGTCCTGGACACCATGCCTCTGGTGGTCCCTGAGCTCCTTTCCTCTGGGTGCACGGGCCTGCCCCTCCCCCCAGGCCTGCCGCCTCCCCCTAGAGCTGGCGATGCCCGGGCTGCCTGTCCTCTGGGGTCCCCACTCCCCCTCCAGGAGTCCCCACTTCCCTGGCCCATTTGTACTGTTCCATGTTCTGAGCTTGTCCTTGGTCATGTGACCTGGTTTGGGATTTTTTTTCTATCTGGATTTGGGCCCTGGGCTCTGTCTGCTGCACTTGGGAGCTGCCTGGAACCCCCGCAGCCCAAGGGGCTACGCCACATAGTAAAGAACAAGCAGTGTCTCCCCAGCACCTCGCCTAGATGTCCCTGAGCCCGGAGCCCGTCACCAGGGAAAGCAGTCCTTGCCCTGGGTCCTGTGGCCTAAGCATCTGACCGCCAGCCAGGCTGGGGACGACGGGGCGTCTGGTCTGGGCGCCCGAGGATGCGCAGGCCGACACGGGTGGGGTAGGCCCTCCACACCCACACCGCACAGCGAGCGCAGGGCGACACGGTCTGATGCAGGTGTGGCCACTTGCGATCCAAGCTGGGCAGCCTGGGCTGCTTATCTAACCTCTCTGTGCCTCTAGCGCTCAACTGCGAAACAGGAATGATGAACGTGCCCTCCTGGGTATGCAGGCTGGATGTGATAAGATATGGGTGTGTGTGTGTGTGTGTGTGTGTGTGTGTGTGTGTGTGTGTGTGTG